GCTCAACGCGAGCTTTCGGTTTATTTTTATTAAAATACTTCTATAACTGGCACATCATCCTCTGATCTGCTAGTGACCGCTGACGAGGAACATTCGATTCAGTAATCTAACTTTTTCTACTTTTTGATAGCGACTGAATCTCGTCGAAGACCGCAAACAAAACAGTTCACGGTGTCTAACTTAGGATCATTATAAGGCCTGACAAACGCAGAACAGAAGTAAAACAAAGTTAAATACAAGTAATTGAAGGCCGGCTTGTCATACGACGCATAAAATCAGACAAACCCTTAATGCGAAACCGGCATGAAAAAGTTTAAACAGAGATTTAGAAAGGCAACCCATCCTTGACAATTTTATCTTTCAGTTTCTTGAGAATCTTTTTTCAACATTACATCCTTCTCTGGGAAATGTAAATTTAGGCGCTAATGCTCGCTTTCCATGTGTTGAGAAAGAATTGAATCTTAACTCCTTTCCAAAAAGTGGGTTAGAATTTACGATGGATTGTTATTCCATAACTCAAGCTACGTTATTTACATCATTAACTGCTCCTCCTTTCTTATCTCATCTTTTCTGTCTAGCCAAAGAGGAAGGTAACTATCAATATCATCCGTTCCTATAAATAAAGAACCCTCCTATGGCTCAACACACATCGACTCTCTGCACTACCTGTTGACTGACCAGCAAATTGAAATCGTAAATAGAGGAAGACAATATGTGGGTGTATATCAATGACAGTTAGTGATAGCTATTACTGTTAAAATGTTACCATCAAAACGATTTTATCGATGTGGCAGTATTATTATATCTCTCTTATAAACGATATTTGCATAATTATCATCAGATATCAGTCATTTTGGCTGATTGTTTGTTTGATTTAACAAATTCTGTTACATAATTTTCGATTTCAATGTAAAATATTGACATACCAAACAAACTGGTTGGTTCAAAAAAAAAAATGAATAGATAAACGGATTAACATCTTTTCAAAACTGTTTTTCTCTTTCACGTCATTCTTTCCGGATTCATAAGCGGGTGAGTGCGACGAGTTCAGTCTATTTGTTAAGCTTATGATGTGTGTAGTCAAGTATTCCAAGGCTATATTTGGCCAATCATTTACTCACCGAATGTGAATCTTTCTTTTCATGTTCACCTAACATCCTCATCCTAACTGATATAACAGATTGTAAGTAGCCATGCTTGAACTATCATTTATCAGTAGGCAGGATAAAGGGTCGATAAAGATGGTTTAACAAACGAATGGATCTCAGAGAGGGATACCGACAGGATACTCTTCTCTGTGGATCAGTGGATATTTGGACAAAGATGTTGCATAGAAATAAAACTTTTAATTGTTACTACAATTGAATTTCAACGCTTCAGGCTTCTGCCATATACTGGTGGAACTTTTACAGTAAAGTTGAAATTAAAAATTGAAAACGTTAAAATCCTAGTTTGTTTCTTTTAACATTTTTGCACAGTCACCCATTTGAGCAACAGAAAACATTGTCACTCTCCCTGGCTTATAACATAATAAATCCCAGACAGATGTTGAGAGAACACCAATGATGCTTATAAATAGGGAACTGTAAGTTGGGTAAAGTATAAGCTTCAAGCCATCAATCTTTTTAACTTGGAGATATTAGTTCGAAGTCTCCTCCGAAATTAAAAACTGGGGATATCGACCCTAATAATTACGTATTTTGGTATCCTTTATGACAAGCTGAGATTAATGCAGCAAAGGAAGTAAAGGGCATAGGTAGAGTGATAGTATGACATATGACTCTTTGCGCGCAACTTATTGTTTTCAAAGGTTGTATGGCGTGGTCATCTTGGAGTGTCTGCAAAGTGTGCGGTATCCAGTACCGGCAAAGAGTCGGTAAGTGACAAGAGGGAGTTTTTTAGAATTTTGTGACCCGAAAGTGCAATGGCAGGTTTTCGCCATTACTTTACAACTTCAAAAAACTATACAGCATTTATAAGCCTCTATTCAATTGAATTAATTCTTATGTATAGATTGCAATAATAATTAGGCAGGAACCTTCAGCAGTTTTTCTCAATGGATGTTCTCTCTAACAGAAATGAGATGACTTAATCTCCAATCATTTATTACTTTTAAAAAGATTACCTGGATAATCTTACTTCTAGAATTTGACTGCTCAAGAACTCAGGAATCACGGCCTTGTCATTGTAAGTGGTCTCATGTATGAGGGAAAGTAAAGGACCCATTTGTTGGTCGACTGTCCCTTTATTAACTTCCAAACTCTTTGTAAAATACACTTTGGTTTTACCAACCGAGTTGGTAATGTAGATTGGCCACCGCTAGTAGTTTCCAAGCTCATTTTCGAGTTTTAGCTCTGACCAAGGGCTAACGATCGAAACGTCAGCTTTAAAAATCTTTATGGTGGTCAATTTACATTAAATTAATCCTGAGCTCAAGAATCAATCGGTTACATATAAATCACCCCTTCAGTTCAAATTCTCTCGAAGCGATTCCCCTTCACCTGAGATACTCTGGACTAAGGATGGGTTGAATCTTGGTGACAAAAACACTCTCACGATTAATCGAGTGAGTTATGCAGATGCTGGTTGATACACATCGACGCCTCAGACTATGGCCAAGGAGCTGCCCTCTTACAACCCATCAAACCCCTCAGTAGCAGCGCCCTTGACGAGTTTTCTCTGCGACCTATTGCGTACAGAAAAAGGCCTAACCACTACCGAGAAGCGCTATGCGCAAATCGAAAAGGAGTGCCTGGCTATTGTTGAAGCCCTCAACACATTTGAGCAATGGCTTTTGGGACTCAGACCACCAACCCCTTTAGTTGATCTTCAAGAAGGACCTCGCCTTAGCGCCTAAATGTCTGCAGAGGATGTTGCTTTTCCTACAGTGTTACAACTTTACTTTTGTGTACAAAAAAGGTTCTCTCTTGCATTTAGCAGACACCGTATCCAGAGCCCCATGTCAAGACGAAGCCGTCAACCCATCCATGTCGGACACCTTCCGTGTGTTTCACGTTCATCTTGCTCGCTTGGACCCCACCTCAACGGCCCTCACCAATACCACTCGCGAGCAACTACGCAATGCCACATCATCATGCCCTGACATGCACTAGCTGCAGCATTACCCCTCAACGGTTCGCGAAGAACTCAGAATTGTAAATGATATTCTTCTTAAGTCTACTCGCGCCATCATTCCTACCTCTCTCAGACCAAGTATGCTGAGCAAAACCACTACTACCATAGGGGAGCAGAATATTGCCTTCGTATCACATATAAGCATGTTTTTAGTTTGCCCTACCTGCTCCCAGTGTGGAAAGCAAGCCGCCACTGACCATACTATCCCATCCTGTCCCTACACGACCTCGGCTGTTCATCTCGCAGGACATATTTGAGTTCCAACATAAGCAGTATCTAGTCACCGTAGACTATTGCAGTGATTTCTATGAGTTGGACCAGCTGATAAACACTCAATCCACCACCATCGTCGTGCCCACCAAAGCCCACTTTGCCCACCCCGGCATCCCAGTAAGTTGTCTAATAGACGATATCCTGGGAGCCAAAGAAGTTTAATGACTACGAACTTTACTAGAAAGTGGGCTAACAGAGTGCAACCTCACAAGAGCACTCCATATCCTCAGTGCCTTGCTTTTGGAACATTTTTCTTCTTTTTCTTGGTATTATCTTATTATTACTGAACAATGGGTCACATTAATTTGTCTTAGACTTCGGAGGCACTATTTGTCTATATTTGCATATGTGTCTATATATATATATATATTTCTTTTGACGAGGGGGGATGTCATGTCACCGTTGCGTTACTCGCACATGATTGCATCACATTCTAAAGTTCCCGTATCAACGCGTGCTTGGGGGTGAGAATAAATTAATTCATAATGTCTGCCCACGTGTTTATTCATCGTATATCTAGATAGTATATACTGCTTAACAAGCACACTTATATTTTCCATCTATTTTATTTGCGAGTGTATAAATAAGCTCTTTAAAGTCATAAATCTCATTCCTTAATTTGGCTATTTTTTTCATTGTTTTTTTATAATGTTCGCCGAGTGCTTTCCTTTGAGCGTTTGCCTATTTACATGTTTTTTTGTGAGATATTGTTTTCGTCTTCTCCACCAAGACTTTGTAAAAGTTATTCCGCTAGAGAGTTGTGAAAGGCGGACATTGGTGCAATTGTTCACAGTGGCTACAACAATATCGACGGTTTCGACACTTCACGAGTCTCTTCAGCTGTAGTTTGAAGATAGTGTTGTAATAGCGAGGTCTTTCAGGAAAGGTAGAGTGGTGTTCTCAATTCCGTTCCCGGAGTGGGAATTGCTTCTGTGACCTTTTTATACGTAGATCGTTAGGCTTGAGGATCGAGTTCCCATTATTCCTATTGATCCTTGATGTTGGTTAGGGAACCAATAAGAAGCAGACAATTTCGATTTTACCTGATCTGAAGGTGAGACTGAGTTTTTAGGAAGGCCTTTTCTGCTGCATAATTCGCTTGAAAAGCTACTGAGATTCATAATTGAAATTTGTTACGGTTTCCCGTTGTGTTTGTTTTCGTTCCCCCTAAAAAAGAGGGCTTAAAATGTTGTTTTTAAACTAAAGTTTGTGTATTGTGCATTTGTACATTAACTGATTATGCACGCCAGAGTATTTGCACATAAAGGACGGGGTCTGTCTGGAAACCATCAACATGGGAAAAGGTAAAGACAGACCGGCACGGATTCCCCATCGCATTATCGCCTTCAAATTATGTTTTTGCTCTCACAAGCGTGTCTCGATAAGTTTATTGCAAACCCTACGGCATCGCGCCAAATACCAAATTAATGAGTTTACCGTAACCAAATGTTAACATAAACATTCAAAGTAATTATAGAAAAGGTAGAAATAAAGACTGCACCACTGTCCTACATACTTTGTTTTGTTAAATGATCCGAAAATGTCGTCTGTGGTTGCTTATCAAATTTTTCTGTTTACAACATTGTTAGTGGATGGTGGCTGGAGCGAGTGGAGCTCCTGGAGTATCTCTCCCAAACCAGTTGGTGGTATACAAACAAGACAGAGAGAATGCACCAATCCAGAACCAGCACATGGTGGGAAACACTGCGATGGGACCGGAGCAATGCTAAGAGAATGTAGCAACATGTCCAGTTGCCAAGAAGGTAGCATACAAATTGTAGCCTTTCTGATTTCAGTGGATGAAAACTTCTTTGTTGAAACAAAATGAACTAATTCAGGAATAAAAGCTATAATAACAACAAATGAATGGAACTGCTAAGGTTGAACTTTAATCACATAATCATCCACGCAAAGTATATGAAATGCACAAATTATCAAAAGTCAGGAGTTCATTATAAGTCAGAAATCCTTCATAAATGCACAAACTTTGTACATGTATGGAATTCACCAAGCTTTTCTTGAAAGAAACAAAACAAATCTCCACTACCATTAGTACTACAATATAGGTACTAAATTCTTGGAAGAAGCTTTCGCTGATATTTGTGGTCGCTCTGTAAGAAGTCTGCACTATCAGCGCAATGGCGATTACGAATTTTGTTGGACTGCCCGTAAGCAATACCTTTTAGCTAATCCGGTAGTGCTAACTATCATCTAATGTTTAAAAATGCGAGAGCCTCAGTTATTAATAACATTTTGGCATTGACCTGCTGGCAAAGAAAATCATATTAGCTTAAAAGGAAATTCTTCCCCCATTAACTGAAAAGAAATCTTTCAACAATGCAAGGACTGCTGTTACTAGGGTAATTATATGGGGACATCATCAACACAAGAACTTACCTATGCTGAAGTAGTTCACGCTGTTTATTGTTATCCTTATTTGTCAATTTTTTTTAATATTTGAAGAATTTCCCCTGCGTTTTGAAACAGAGAAGAACCCATCTGTCGGTACAATGAAGATATTCTCAAACAGCAGCTGGCAAAAGCTGTGTACCAGTCAATGGGATGACGCAGATGAAAATTCAACCTGCATGGCCATGGGCTACTATAGCAACGCTGTGTATGCTAATGACACAAGGTACGCAGAACGTGGCAATTCCTCAGAGATGTCCACTCACTACAACTGTACCATTCCCACCACATGTCAAAACAACTTGGAAAAGAAACAACAATTTTGCAAAGGTAATAATGAATTGCACTCATGTAATATCCACATGATCTCCAAAGATGGTAACTTGATAGATTTACTCACACTCCAGATAAGAAAATTTTTCCGAGATCAATGATTGTTCATCTTCAGGTATCTTTTAGGTTCTAAAAAGGTATCTATCGCTAAAAATGTAGCGGGTTTCTATTGTTTACACCCTAAGACGATTATAGTTGAATTACTGCCGAAAGAAGAACCTAGCTGCGCAGTTATGCATTTGGGTTTCACGAACTTCATAACCTCCAAACCCTTCACCAAGTTTCCTTAAAACTATTGCATCCTTCTAGTTTCCTTTTTTCTCTCTCTCTCGTGTAACTAGGGAATTTCACAATTTTTCACCCTATTTATACTTAACTAAACGCCTTTTTCTTGATTATTCCGTGAGAAATGCTTTAAAATGACTTTCTTGTTTAAAATGTAAATCACCCTTTTGTGTTCTACGAAGGCAAAGAAAACACGTCTTGAATGTTCCAAAATTGTTGAAAAAACATCTAATTTTACAATTTAAAACGCAGTCACGAAGCAATGAAAAAGAGGTTTGTCGTAAAACATTGCAGCAAGGAAACCATATCGTGACAACGAACGATGCGGCCAACGTTCGAATACTGAATGATTTGCACCCAGAATTTCCCTTAAAAAACACTTAGACAGGCGTGAGCTATTTATCATTTCATGATTTATAGGCATTCTTGATTCATGATAATTAGTGTTTTCCATCTTAACGGATTGAACTTTTTGTAATTTCATAAGTTCCTGTTCGCTTGAATGGCGCAAATGTGGAGTATGGAGGAAGAGTGGAAGTGTTTTACAAGGGGAAATGGGCAAAGATATGTAGGAATAAATGGGACTTTAATGATGTCAAAGTTATTTGTCGTCAACTTGGCTTTGAAGAGGCTTTGGCGGAATTCATTGGGTCAGACATAAAGGCTGAGGGAATACCTTTTGCAATGTCCGATGTCTCTTGCACCGGGGAAGAGTTTGAACTTGCATCATGCGATCGCATCGATGGAAAGTTAAATATTCCACCTCAATGTCAGTCGGATGACAAGGGTTCTCAAGCGCTGTGTCAACCAAGTAAGCAACTAAATTTTTTGGTCTGATTAGGTATTCTGGTTTTCGTGGTTATTTTTCTTCTTGCCATTGACCTTCTAAAGTAGAGGGAAATCAGAGTAAATTGAGATACACAGATGACTAGAAGACCATTTCTAAAAACATTCTGCTAAAGTATGACTTGCGGACAAGCATATACCTGTTCGCAGACTTTACGCTCAAGATAGCGACATGACATCGACTGGGGATAAAATGACTTAGTTTAGTTTAGGGTAAAAATGACTCAGATGATTTTGATTTTATCAACCGAGTTGATAATGTTAATTTGCCCCCCGTAAAGAGTTTCAAAGCTGAATTTCGAGCGTTAGCCCTTTGTCATGGCGGGTGTTATACTCCCCCCACGGACGTAGCACCACAGTTTCTTAAGAGAGGATGTCAGCATCCATAGAACAAATTTGAAATATTGTGGCAAGTCGCCAAAATTCGTTTTCTCTCCGACTTTCATATTTTGTAGCCCAATATGTCCTAGATAATTGTCCGACATACTTTTATTATGTCGAAAAGTAGCACCAAAACAAAGACAGTGACCGATATAACAGAATTTACTGAGCTTCTAGCTTTTAAAAGACAAAAGGATGGTTATAAAGTTACTGTAAAAATTTCCTTGTGTATTTGTGTTGTTCTATCGTGAGACGAACTCAAAGTCCGGCATTAAATTTAGGGTCTGTTTAGATGGAGGTGGGGGGACCTCAGGTCGCCTGTCAATATAATTTCTTGTTTTATTTTGATCACGTTTGCATGATAGGTGGGGTAGGTAGGGTAACCCTGTCAGCAATTTTGCTATGTAAACGTCTCAAGGCGGGGGTAACCCGCCTAGCCGGGGTAGCGTTCATGACAAAAAGCTCAAAAGCGAAATATGTATGTTTTAAAACTTTGTACATACCCTAGCCGTCTCATGGCAGAAATCATCAGAAACCGTAACGGACACACAAAGGAGTGTAAAATGTTCACATTTCGAAATATTTAGCGTTCCCAAAATATTCCGTTTAAAGTATTAAGTCAACGGTTCCTCGCGAAACCAAACACCGCGTAATACAACGTGTGACGCTTTCATGAACAAATACATTTGTGAGCGAGGATTAATTTTCCATCTTTTTCGAGATGTGAGCTTGGGACACCTCTGGGTAGACTCCCTAATTGCAAGCGCAACAACAACCTCAAGAAACCTCACCCCAGCACCCCGGGGTTTTAAGATTGCATGTAAACGCGTTTTATTTTTCGACCACGGTTAGGCGGGTTACCTCACCTACCTGGGGTCCCCCACCTCCATCTAAACAGGCCCTTGCCTACTTGTCGCCATCGTTTAGTAGCATAAATCACAACAATTTGTAAACAAATATCTGACATAACACTCTTACCCTATTTATTTATGACTTTATTAGCTGTTTCGATGATCAAATTATGCCCTACCTCATTTTAGCCAGATTTAAAATCTTCTCCACGTTATTATATCAGTTGCATGACAAGCGTGACACATAAATTCAAGGATGAGTCAACCTCCGAATTACCAAGAGATAGGTTTTTTTTTTCCCTCTTTGCATATCTGCATATCTATAAAAACCTTCCAAGAATTACTGTATTCAGAAAACTAAAATATCCAGATCCATCCATGGTTCCTTTGCCGGTGGAAGTCAAAGAATGTTCACAAAAGTCAATTCGATTGACAAGCTCCATACTGATTTAGTTAATTGTTCTGTTGTGTAAGCGTCTCATCTTACATGCCAACATGGAGATTTGCTGTTCATTTAAATCGTTCGCTGGTGGGACTTTTGGGTATCGTTATCGAGAAGACCGACGTTGCATATCTCAGGTCGTTCCCTTGCGTAGTTGTAAAAAAGACATTTCAAGTCACTTGCGGAGATCCAGAAACTGAAGTTAATCTTATTTTGTCGCGAGCCGGCATCTTCGAGACACCAAAAGATACCGATAATTTCACAATCTGCCCCACTCGTAGATCAAATATCGGTACCGGTGTTGGGTGCCTAAAGAAGTGTACGGCCGTGGTAAAGGTAGGGTTGAGTCGATTCCAAAAGCTGATTGGAGAATTGGCAAGCATGTATCACAGATAGTACGCAAGACGTCTGGAAAATTCACTGTACCACCTTGTGCAAAATTACGCGTTCCGTCAGACTTAGGTCTCGATTGGGAATTGGTCAATACACACCCTGTCAGCACCCAGTAACCCGCTTTTAACTGCTACGCCGCTACTGAAACAACGATTAGTAGCCACAAAAGTGACACATTCAAATATTGTCAATTCAACATAAACAAAATCTTCATACAGGGTAAATATTCATTTTTGTTGGGATCAATTATTGCGTGACTAGCTTATGATATAAATGGGGTAGGGGAAAACACAACTTAAAACCTGGGCTCCTGGCAAAAAGTAATACCGAAGCGTAATATAGTAACCGAAACAGCTTCTTGGTCTTAAAAAATCATAAGTAAACAAGGTAAGAGTGTTATGTTCGATTTTTTTTTTTTACAAATTGTAGTGATTTATGCCAATAAACGGTGGCGACAAGTAAGCAAATTTTGCCGGACGTTGAGTTCGTCTCACGATAGAACAACACAAATACACAAGGAAATTTTTACAGTAACTTTATAACCATCAGCAGATTCTGTTATATCGGTCATTTTTGAAACTGTCTTTGTTTTGATGCTACTTTTCGACATAGAAAAAGTATGTCGGACAAAAATATTTACCAAAAAATAAATATTTCTTTGCTAGCTTCAATACTGAGAGGGGATTAAGTTTCGATGATGAAAAAAAGATTATGTTGACAGAAATATCGGAGGTCAAGTAAATTCGTTACATGAGGTCACGCACTCGGGTGATATTCACGGTGAAAATTTGCATATTTGAGCGGTCGAACGAAAAAAATCATTTCTCGAAAACTAAAATATATTTTTACGAAAAAACTACACCACAATTATAACGACATATTGGGCTACAAAATGGTAGGAGTGAAAGTAGGAGTGAAAGCAACTTACCCTCCTCATTGATGATTCAGCTTGGCATATCTTTCATGAATGTAATCTGACTGCTCATAAGATCACTTGACTTCAGTTAAGGGTTACCTAATTTCTTTTAACGGGTGACATAACCTTTTTTGGATGCGATATAATTCTATTCAAAGGTTACATTACTTTGGTAATGGCTGACATGACTTTCTTTGGAGTAATATAACTTAGTTTTAAGTACAACAAAGTTCCAAAAATTTCTCAAGTTAAGCTTTATTAAAGGTAAATATATTCAACTTTTCTCTTCTTGTAGTGTTGATTACACAGAATCTGACTTATTTTGACATCTTCCACACCGAACCATTTTTTTTTTTTGCAGAGAACAAGAATGTGTTGAAAAGAAATGAACTCTATTTTGATATTGGTAGCAGAGAAAAGCTTCATTGCTCTATAAACAATAAAACCAATTACGTTAGATGGGTCATCAATGGGCGAAAGCTTGAAATAACAAACTCTACTTCTGAAAGGATCAAGGCTAAAGACAATGGTGATCTGTTCATTGATGATGTGCAGCTGTCTGATGGAGGAATATATGAATGCCAGAGATTGGAATATGTTCAATATTACATTGTCTACATAAATGGTATGGAAACACATCTTTTTATCTTGTAGAAATAGGCTTAACATGCAGGGCAATGTCATGTAAGACAAGTGCACTTCTGACCTTTCAACAGTATAGCTACGATATTAGTGCTTTTCGTTACTGCTTTCAACAGCAAGATTTACTCAGAAGACGTTGGACCAACAAACCTTTATTGCGTACACGTCTGGCATTATAAGCTGTAGTGCTGATGGAACACCAAGTCCACAGATTTCTTGGAGTAAGAAAGGAGGAAAGTCCTTAGACCCGAGACGATTCACTCCAACATCCAACGGCAGCCTGCGTATTGGTTTTGTAAAGCCTGAAGACGATGGAACATTCATCATCTGTACCATGACACAAACTAAAGGACCACAGAGGGTCTCAAGCAGAGATAAAAACACACTAGTGACAGTTATAAGTGAGTGACTAATGAGATAATATATAGAAAGTCACAAAGTCAGTCCTTCAAATGTAATTAATTTAATTTACTCATTTTCAAAACCTTTTCGCTGCTCATACTCACAAGTACGTGAGGTTACATTTTATCGTGAATATGTTCGTTTTCGTTGTTTGAAAGTAGGGTTGTCATGTTAAAAAAATTATACTTAGGTTATTTGTGAACGGTGTAGTTTCCTCGTCATGACTCAAAGTAAGTGCCCTGTGACGAAGTTTATAGTTTCTTTTCAAACTGGTAATGTGCCTAAATCGACTTCGGTTGGTCTTGGTGACAAATTCACTTTCTGAATGCAGTATAATCGTTTGTCTCGCCATGAAGATACTTTGGATATGGATCGCGACTTTTTGACTGCATATTGTGTCTTCTTCCTGTTATAAGGTCGGTAGATATGCATGACCTTATGAAACTCTCTGTTTGGCTGTGATTGACTGGAATCCCACACAGGTTTCGATTGGCACACTTTGACCAAATGTTCTTCCGGAGTCCACTGTCGCAAAAGTTATCCTGTTTTTGTGTTTCTTGTGGTCAGCATTCATATTTTTGGGATGTCTATCCCAATGTCCAATTTATGCTGTAACAGTCTCATGTGGATGGCCTCTTTTACCCTGCGTTTAATAATAACAGGATCACTATCAATATACTCTACCTCAGTCCAGAGCAGGTGGTTTCCACGTGTCTCCTGAAACTGCAGAGGCCTTTGTCTTAGCATGTCGTTTCTCGATCTGCCATATTGCTCGTTGAACCTTACTTCCATAGGTCTGCCTGCTCCGCCGATCTAAACTTTGCCGCACTCACATGGAATCTTGTAAACCACGGGCTCTTGTTTTAAAGATGCAGTGCCATGGATGGCGGGTGTGTTGTTACTATTTGTAACATCAGTGAAGTGAATGAGATGCTCTCAGTTCTTCAAATGCTGTAGGAAGCCATCAGCGTTTTCGCGAACCAAGATTGTGAATGTGTCATATGCATAACGTTTCCAGATCCTTCGCTGGTAAGATGATAAGGTTATCGATTGCTCCTATAACTCTATATGTGGAGATTAGCAATAACGGCGGAGACCATACTTCCTATGGCTGCGCCTTCTGTCTTACGTAGACTGGTGGTCCGAGATAATAGGAGTATGTAGACCTCAATACGAAGTTCGAAAGGTTCGCGATCTGACAAACGATTATACTTCATATTAAGCGCTACTGTCATCATCAAATGTTCATTTAGTTACTGCGTCTAATGTGTTCAATGTAAATGATATAGTAACACCTCCGATTTTCCAGTAATATGTTATTTATTTACCTTTAAGTTCGACCAAAAGTTTGTATTTCTGGAGCAAGCAATCTCATCATAGAAGGAAGCAATGTAAACTTGACGTGTAAAGTTGTGGAAGGTCGGCCTGAACCACGGATCACCTGGCTCAAGAATAATACATTGCAAAGAGAGAGTTTGTCTCTCTTCTTTTCTAAGATAACAAAGGAGGACGAAGGGCGGTACACTTGTAAGGCAGAGAATGAAGCAGGAAATTCTACCAAAGACATTGACATTTCTGTAAAGGGTGTGTTTGTAAAGCTCAACTGTATTATAAATCAATCATGCATTTGATATGCCTACGGAAAGCGAATCAATAGCCAGTGGGCCTGACTCTAGATCAAGGTTTCTGGGTCTGAGCCAAGGGTAAGGTAATTGTAGAAAACTATCAGAAAGATTTTAAAAAATGCAAGGGCTTTCAGCTATTATCTGCGACTGAATCACCAGTGAGGACCAGGTCCTGGATGAATAATTTTTTCAGAACGCTTCCTTAGTTATTTATTGCGAAGAATTGGAAGGTCTTTACAATTGTTCCTTTGTTCCCGCTATAATAATTTGATGATATCATGGCTAAGTTAGTAATATAGCCTGACTGACATGGTTTTTGGAAGGATTTGTTTGATATGGTAAAAAAGTGGCTCGTTGTCTTCTTCTCCTTCTTTTTTAATGTTATTTATAATTGTAATTTTTTTTTCTTTTTGTGGGTGGGGGAGGGGGGCGGAAGGTTGGGTGGCTTCTTATTTTGTAATTTGTGTTTACATGCTTACTTTGCAGTTCCACCCCATGTTCGTGATGAGTCTAGAAATCTCACCATTGAATTTGACTACCCTTTTATTAGAGAGTGTTATTTCAGAGGTGACCCACAAGTATCTGTCTACTGGACCAAGGATGGAGTGCTAATTAGTAAAAACAACACCTTGGTTATAAGACAAGCGACGTTTAAAGATAAAGGCTATTATGAATGTACTGCTAAAAATGATTATGGCGAAGCAAACTCTTCCTTCTGGATCGATGTCACAGGTAAACCCAAAATTGTAGTTTATGTCATTTATCAAACTTGTAACTTAACAGAGCGTTAGTTTTAAAGTTTAAGCCAAATTTAAATAGACCTATTTTTTTCTCTTTTCATCCATTTCCTGGTGACTTAGAGTTGATTCTGACTTACAGACACACAGATTGTAAATGAAGATAAATCCGTAACCAAAGAAATGATTAAAAACACCTCCCGCTATTAAGGAATTCCAAATCCTGTGGTCCACTCTAACATTTTTATCCTTGGACGCATGTCAAAATACTCAATTTGGAGACGTCAAATAACAGATTTCCTCTTTTTTTATCACAGAATGCAAATGTTTCACATTGTTTTGATCATCATTGCCTAATGACTTTTCAAATTCAATATATACTGCTAAAAAAAATAAAACTGATAGTCATTAAACATATAGGTTTTTAACATCACACTCAACAACCAGAAAGATCAAATTGCTCTATGAGCAAACTCGGGAATTGACACATGATTTTTTGGATTATGTTATCTGGTTTAGGGAATTTTGTGGTTGATTGTCATATCTAGAGTACGAGCAGTAGTTCAGTGTTCGCTAATGTAGCAAAGAAACAAAGTAACGTGGGGATAAGAAGGCATTACAGTTGAAATGATCATGCTATTACATTTGACAAGGGTGGATGATGTCATGTGTTTTAAACGTATATCATTTTTTTTTTCTGGTTCAAAAGAAAAGGTTGAAAGTAAATGTGTGTGAAAAGTGAAATTTACTGTCTATCATTGTAAATATTAGAAAATCAAGGCAATACTGTCTTAATGAAAACATTAAAGATTCCCTCTTTATCAAATGAGACAAACGGGAACGAGTTTTGAGTGATATAACTAAGCCAAGACTGTCACCGTCATTTTGGATCTCCGCCTGGGTAGATTTTAGTCACGTGCTAGGCAACGTATAATCAATAACAAGATAGAATTTCATTTCAGGCCTGTTTATCAATTTTGTGGTGTATAACTTTCGCATTTTAGTACATAAAATGTATTTTGAATCTTCAAATTGTCTTGAAACTTAAAAGAAAATTGTTCTTTAAAAATTCACTGAAAATCGGTAGCTAAAATTGTTTGTTTAGGTGTTATTTGATTTTCGTGTTAACTTGTAATTTCGTCAGTCCCCGGCACCTTTTGTTGCTTCACACAGGAAAAACAAATTTTGTCCTCAACTCACGCCATAACAGAAAAAGCTTTTGAACATCTGTAAACTCCGAGCGCTTCGCAGTAAGTGATATTTTCAAGGAATCTTCGGATTGTTTTCAAGTTCAAGGATTATAAATTACAATTTTATGAAAAACGAAGGTTGTCTGTTATTTCAGTGTGAATCTTTGCATGCCTGCCAGTCGCTGGCGCCGCTTGTTGAAACTAAAACGAAAAAAACTCCTTTAAGATTATCATTGGCTTCTTTTTCACCCCACCACTATTCTTAGCAACAAAGGTCGCTATTCCGTTTTTTTATTGCTCGCCAAAAACTATCAAATGCACTCAAAAGCCTAAAATCGAAAAAAAGTTTACAGGAATCTGTTTACGCGCAATTCACGAGTTAAAAAAAATGAAGGTTATTGGCACAACTGGGACAACTTATGGCAAAACAATATCTTTTTATTCTGAACGCGAAGAAAACCTTTATAAAAAAATTGACCTTGGTTAAAAATAGACTTGAACATCGCGTTTCTTGTTTTGATTTTGTTGTTGTTGTTGTTTCGTCGTTTTATCAAAGGTTAGATAAATGGGGTTAAAGTGGATTATACAAACCTTATTAATTTTGGATTTTTTTTTATTGAAGTATTTCCACAGATTATAGAGCCTCCGATAAACCAGTCTGTTACTGAGGGAAACTCTGTGAACTTTAGTTGCCGAGCCACAGGTGTGCCAACACCAACATTAGTCTGGGTTTTTAATAATGGTGACCTGCCATCTGGTATCAATCAATTCAATGACAAAGGAGAATCATTCCTGGAATTTTTAAGCGTCACAAAAGGGATGGAAGGGACTTACAAGTGTGAAGCGAAAAATAAAGCAAATACAACTAGTTCCTCTGCAACACTGCGTGTATACGGTAAGTTTAATGATAATGACGATAATGATGACGATAACGATAACGATGACGCTGACTTTGACGATGATGCCGACGCTGAACTGATGCTGACGATGAGGGTGACAAATGTGGACCAGGATTTTAATCAGTTGCCTTTTTCTTAACGCAGGAAAAGCCTCTGTTCAAGTTTTTCCAGATCAGTATCCAGCAATCACAGCAGGAGACAACCTCACGTTGACCTGCAACGTCAACGAAGAAACAATAAATGTAACTTGGAAAAAGATGGAGACTCGCCACCTGAAAGAGCAAAAGATTGATACACGATTCGATGACAAAAGAGTACATTTGTTGTAACTGAAGTTGTGAAGGAGGACAGTGGTGTGTATTCTTGCGAGGGACGTAACAAGCTCGGTTTTGTTGACCGTTCCTTTGTAAAAATAAACATCAAAGGTAAGCTGGTGTTACTGTTGTGTCCTTAAAAGGCATAAAACTTTACTAATTGAAAAATATATTTCCAAACAGATTAAAACTATTTTTCAGTTAAAGACGAAAACAAATGTGGGTCACCTGGCCCATTTGCATGAAATTACCTTGCATCGCTCTGTGAATTTCAGTTATTTTGCTTCTAAGAGCAGGTGTCAATCAAGGGTTAAAGAATGTGCTAAGCTATTTCAAAGCTATTCCAAACAACTCGAATTTTATCAGTACTTTTACTACCGTCGAGATTTGTCTAATGGCCATATATTTATCTTACACAATTAGCGAAGCAAGTGCCACGAGCTATGCAAAGTTTCAACACTTTGTGGTTTTACATTGGTGGATCAGTGGCGGCAGCGATTGTCATTTTGCTAATTGCCTGGTATTTCTGCAAGCTTCGAAGGGCAGGTGACGTCCATTTTTCTGTGTTATTTCAGAGAACCCTGAGCTTAGAGTCTAAGAGTAGAGATATTTTTATAAGAATTATTCGTGTCCGGCCAAAAAATGCTAAATTGTAGAGTTTTTTTCACATCTGTATATGTTTTGATAACAATTACAAATGCAGAAAATATCACGTCACCCTTCATTTGCGCAAATTCAAATTATACTGCCATTACACAGAAATTTTATTAGAATTTTATGTCAGTGTTTTGGGGTACGAAAGAGCTATCATAGCAGGTCATATTGTGCATTTCCAGCACCGATTTTGAAGGTCCTTCTTTAGTCCCGGAAAGTCCATTAACCAATCAAATTACAAAAAGGTTAAAAATTATATCCAGCTGATCACCATGACAACCAGCCATATTCCTTCTCTCGTTGTTGACAACAGAGTCAAATATATGATACACGTGGTTTCTGAGTTGCAAGCTTTCACTAAGTTAATGATGTCGTTCTTACTTACAACGAAGCTATTTCTTCGATCTTTTTCCACATATCCTTTGATAATAGCCCCACCTGAGGTGCCACCTAGGTTGAAGTAAGTAAATTCTCTCTTTTTGTGAATGCTCGCTGTTTCAACGTGTCGCTATATCCGAAGTTTCTAACTGTTGAATAGTCTCAGTAGAATAGTGATAAGCGCCATTGCTGAGCAAATACGTCTTTTCTCCAGTTTGGACCAATCATATTCACCATCAAGAGCTCACAGGAAAAAAAAGGGGTTTTTCTTTCGAAGCAGCGGCATTCTTCGAAGCCGTTCTTATGGCAGTCAAATGTTTCCTGATGTTCTTTCTGTTTTGGTTTCATCCGTCTTTTACTTGTCTTGACACCTTGTTTAATATATATATATATATATATATATTTTTTTTTTTACCAGCATGCTGGGTTGTGGGTGGCATACTTATAAGAAAAAGAGGCGCTTTGACCCCTCGTCACTCTCTGTTCCAGAAACTGCACTTGAAATACACTCGGAGTCTTGTAGGCCGATTTAAAATGCCAGTCGATATATCGACTGTAGACAATACTTCGGATGGTTTCTGTTAGTATTTCATTTCTCGCGTGGGAGAAACGATATTTGTATGAGGTAAAATGCCGAAAAACGCAGTCGGCGCAAGGTTATCTTCATGCGAGGTTAAATCAATCCTCTTTTTTTTTTTCAATAAAATCTCCTCTTCTGGGGCGATGCGTCAACAAACGGGTTCAGCAGATTAGTATCCAAATTTCACCTATCTCAGTAATTTTTTCATTGGCAAGTAATAATTTTCTGACGTACTCTGAAAAAAAATTATCTTTAAATGAAAAAAAAGAGAAAAAACTCTTAAAGTGAAGATATAGAGAATATATTTACCACGTTACGTTTAAACAGATTCACAGAAGGAAAAGATAGATAGGTAACACGGATAGTTAAAGTCTTGTTTTCATCTGCAATTATTCAGTGAAGGGGAAGATGAAGTTGAGATGGATCAGCTGAACGTAAACACAGATGGATGGGAGATTGCAGCTGACCGCCTGAACCTTCGTGAGCATATTGGCAAAGGGGCATTTGGTTCAGTGTGGCGAGCGCTACTGGGTCGTTCCCGTGGCAGACCTGGAAATCGCACAGTTGCTGTCAAGTGCTACCTACGTAAGTAATTTGTTAGATCTTTTTTTAACTCAAAGCTTAATTCAACTATCCTTAATCAATTTTCAGTGTTTTTCATCTTCATAGAGAGCATTTCTCTTAGAACTCGCTTAATTAACCTATCTAATATATAAAATTGATAGTTTAAAAGCTATGAACTGTTAAAATGATTTACCAGCTGGCATGTCAAATAAGTTGCGAATGGTTCCCCGAGGGACTAGTCGTCAGGTAATTTGCCACATAACGCAACGAACATTTGACAGAACACGATTATCATTTGGAGTATAAGCAGCTGTGGAGACAAACGGAAATTTATTGATTAAATTGCATCAAAGCGCATAAAAGGGGAAAATACTGCAATACTAAAAATGTCAGTACTTTCGCGCCACCACAAGTCACCCGCTGTTCACCTATAACCTTCTGACGTCGTATATTTTGCAAAGTTGCCCGCTTAGAAACTTTTAAAGGGAAATCATGTCATATGATCTCAAAGAAACTTAGAGAAGGTGAGCCTTTGGCGCAAAAACTCGTGCCATATGCCCGTCTAGTGGTGGTAGTATGATCTTCTTTCGTTGGAAAAAGCTGAAAATCATAATGTAGTCGAACCTGCATCAAGCGGCATCGTATTAAGCGGTTACCCTGTGATAAGGGGTGGGTTTTCAATGCCCCAAAATTTTCTTCACTACTCGTAGTACTTTTTATACCAAGCGATTTTGGTCACCCATTACTATGTCCCAACAGCCTATTTGTAATGTTCCCTACCTGCACTGAACGGTCAATAAAGCGGAAGTACTCAAATAAAATTAAGAATAATTTTTCAAGTAAAATTTAATCCAAGCTAATCTCCCGAAATCAATGTTAGAAGTATTTTGGAGCGAGGTCATGTATGTTAAGTGGTCCGTGATGGCATAGAATGGCGATTTTTAATTTTTATCAATAATACTCCTATTCCGTGGAACCTTTATTAAACGGTCGACCCGTGCATGACCGCTAAATACAGGTTGGACTGTCTCAAGCTTACAGAGTCAAATGAATTTACAATAACTCTGGAAATGGTTATGAGTCTATGTAACATTTAATATGATAAAAGCAAGGATTATGTACCATATGAACAGTAGGGAACAAGAAGGCGCAAATAGAGGATATTCTAAAAAAACCAATGGTCTCAAATGTCTATTCGACCGATTAGGTATTATAACAGGTGCGATTTCTAGGCTTAATTGCGTCTCTACTTTTGTGAGTTGTCTGTAAAATAATTGCGCAGTTCTATGAGCTTGCCAGATGATAACAATTGCTCGGGATTTTCGGTAAGTATGGATTTTATGGGGTTTAGAAAACGAAATTTAATTTGTCTTATGCAGACCAAATGCATTGTAATTTCCGCCGATAGTTTAACACCAAGTATACAATACTTGCAAAAGTGGATGTTCACCACATAAGCAATTGTGTCTCTCATGACATGCAAATTTTTTTTGTATATTTTATTTTTCGTGGTTTCCTAGCAATCTCCGGAGAGAAAGGAAGGAAGGCCCTGCTGAGAGAGATCGAGTTATTAAAACTCTTTGGAAGGGAGGGCCATGAAAATGTTGTTAAGTTCATCGGTTGTGTTACAGTTGGAGGTAATCAGCTATTGTTATGATTATAATCAGCTAATTCACAGTAACGATAAAAACATATCTGACGTCAACCAGTATTGCTTAAATGGTGCACTAATTCAAGGGTTATTTCCATTTTTTAGTCTAATCTAAAGAAATTTACTTCGCACTGTATGTAGGCCATTTTACTTGGAAGATTTAAGCTCTAAAATGTACATGCTAATTGTGATAATAGCTTTAACTTACGATGGCAAGTCTCTGTCTTTTCATCTGCCATCCCTATTTTTCTGTCTTTCTGTTTATCTGTCTGTCTGTCCATCTGTCTATGCGTTTGTCTCTATTTCTCTATCTGCTGTGTGTCCATCCGTTTTCTATCTGCGTTTTTTCTTCTTTGAATTTCCCTCTCTATCTCAGATATAACCAAATGTAAATGTAAAATGTAAAATGTACAACTAGATAAACCATGTACATTTCAAACACATTTTGGAACTTCTGCACTGCTTGCCATATAATAATTTTCTTGTTTTTCCCTCTTAGCTCAGCCAATACTTATCATGGAGTACCTGTGGCGAGGTGACTTGCTGGGCTATCTCAGAAAATCCAGGGGTGTTTTCGACCAATATCATCATGGAGTCGGAAGGGTCGACCACTTGACAACGTATGACATGGTGCTGTTTGCTAAACAGATCGCACATGGTATGACTTTCCTCGCGTCCAGAGGGTAAGTGCTCGAACTCTTCCGGGTTGTGGTCCTGCATGTGTTAAAATGGCATGACTTGCAATTCATGAGTAGAATACGCTGTACGGCTAAAAAGATCCAGCACATTAGAATCACTATTCCACCGAGAAATGGTCTTACATGACCATGACGTTAAACTTTCTACCTATATTTTATTTTTTTTTATTCTATGTAGTTTATCAAAGTCCCTTTTACCAGATCATGTCATTTTTTTTTTCGATTTCAGATAATTCATCGCGATCTTGCAGCTCGTAACATCCTCCTTCTTGACGAGCATCGTGTCTGCAAGTTGACTGACTTTGGGCTCTCTTATCAGGATTTCAAATACGGCCCAGGAAATGCCAAGAGGGTAATTTTCAAAATTTTTAATCATTAAGTCAATTGGTTTTGGGGCAGCTAGTATGGAAGATAAAAATGTGAAGAATTAAAATATTACTGTCCTCACAAACCTTTCTTTTCAGTTATACAGTTTTACTGCAAACATATTTCCTTCAATGGGAAGCCGTTCTAAGCGTATCGAAACTTTCACAGAAGAAAATTGTACCTAGGGAGGAACACAGGAAATAAGAAAGCTGGAAGAGATATCGTTCTCTGAATAGCAAAGATACAAAATCGAAAGGCAAAAGAAACAGGAGATTTAAAGGAAAAGGAGTGTGTGAATTATTTATACAGAATTTGTACAGAGGTGTCTACTGCTCTTGACTTTCTCATGAATCCGTACATCACAGTTTTAATCTTATATGCAAAATATTTTAGAAGTTGTATACAAGCCTCTTTAGATTTCAGACGTTTATAGTATTTTGGTTACTCATCCAGGGCTGTATCCCAATCAAATGGACTGCACCCGAGATTCTCTTTGGACATGTGGAACAGCTGTCAACCAAAAGCGATGTGTACGTACTATATTGGTTAATATCCACATATATTCCAAGAGAGAACATTTTTTACGATTCTACCTTAACTTAGCGAGGAAAACTAGAATATTCAGTGCTCTATTGATTAGAGGGTCATTAGGAAACGTCAAGCTGGGGAACAGCTGAGGTTACAGCTGTAGTAGGAGACTTAACATGAATATTAAGTTTAACGAGCAATATCCAAAATCTGATTAGGATAAGAACAGACGGATGAAAGGATGAGTGGATAATCAAACAAATAAATATGGCGTTTTCTGTTAAGGAGGTTGCCTACGTCTTGATGGCATGTTTTTAAACATCCCAAGTATCTGAGTGATTGTTATCTTTCTACCCTTGTTGAGATATATCATCATCCTTTTATTTCTTTGACAGGTGGTCCTACGGCATCGTCCTGTATGAAATCTTCACTGTCGGTACTTAACTTATTTGTTACTTTACATTCAGGAAATATACCTGCCGAGATTTCACGCACAATTACTAATTGATGGGTGATACCGAGCGGACGAAAGAGCATTGTGCGATAGAGAAGTTGAAGCAATACTCAATGTCGCTGATAAATAAGATTATGACGATGCATAACAACTTGACATAAAACTTAAGTTTAAGTAGAACCGATAGTATTTAGTACATTATTGAAAAAGCTTAAACCATCGCTACACTTAAATTTATTTTTTTTACAGTACTCTTTCATCTGATGTAAAACCGAAATGAATTTCAGTAATTAATTGTCATTTTCACAGAAGAATCATTTCGATCGCGCCGAGAGGAATGAAAGTGATAACAACAAAAAAGTGTGCTTTTTTGGGGAAGAGAAAAAAAACATTATTTTTCCACAGGAGGCATTCCTTACGAAGGATGGTCTCAGTCCACGACAATGAAAAAAATCGAAGAAGGTTATCGTCTGCCAAAGCCTGAACATATCGACGACAGTTTGTAAGTGTTGCTTCCTCTGTGTGGAATGTTATATAAGTCAAGAGCAATATCGATTGCTGCTGTGGTCAGGTGTTTTTGATGCACTCGGCCTGAATAAGAAGCCTTCCTAAAAAATTAATTTTATCTTGTCAATACACAAATTAAAATGAAAAGTTGTTGAGTCAAGTAAAGAATACGGTGGGTTTTTCGTCCCAGAATTCGTTTGAGCTGCGATGTAGTGAGATAAAATTAGCATTTCAGGTATTTTTGTAACTAGTTGTATCCTATCGCGGAATTACTGTGATCATATGTCCCTCTGTTTTTCTGTAGATACGCGGTGATGTTAAACTGCTGGAAATACGAAAGCGCCAGCCGGCCACACTTTGTGAAGCTCTACCAAACAATGGATACGTATATTAAAACAAAGGTATGCCATACAGCGTCTGATTCAGGATATACTTCAGCAATTGAAATTGGTATCCTAACAAGTCAATTGCGAATTTCTTTTCACGTCAATGTGGTATCAAAACGCATTTACTACCCAGCCGCTAACAATTTGTGAATTCAGTTTCATCATGAACCAATGTTACTTTTAAACATATGTGAGTGTGGTTACGTTATGTCAGTCTGGATCATCCTTATTTTCCCATTGTTGTCTACACACAAGAAAGAACGGAACAGATCTTAAAATAACACTTTTGGAAAACTTTGACAGAATGGAAGACCTTACCTGACTTTTATTCTTATCAATTCATGCAAGTACTCATGGTTCTTGTCTTTGTGATCGATATCTGATCTGCTCTTTTTTTGTCTTTTTAGTGACTTGTTTTTGGAATTTCTTTGTTGAATTTTTGAAATTCATTCGTTCAAGATTTTTTAACTCATGCAGTTCCTGATTACCTTCTAATCTTTTTCATAGACATATGTAGATATCTTTGACGATGACAAGTATGATCAGGATAAGTACAACTTTGTCGATGACCGTGGAGCTGTTGCAAACCCAGAAGATGCAGGAGCGGACGAGCTAGGAGCAGCTGCAGCAAATCCCATTGGTGAAGTGGGTGAACACGGTGCTACGGCACATTCCTTTGTGGTTGCAATAGACGATGGTGCCCAAGCTTTCCCTTTCGCTATTAACGTACCAGAGAGAGGGGCAGCTGCAGCAAATCTCGCCCATGAAGTGGGTAAGCACGGTGCTGCTGCACATCCCTTTGTGGTTGCAATTGACGATGGTGCTACAGCTTTCCCCTTCGCTATTAACTTACAAAACAAAGGGGCAGCTGCAGCAAATCTCGCCCATGAAGTGGGTAAGCACGGTGCTGCTGCACATTCCTTTGTGGTTGCAATTGACGATGGTGCTACAGCTTTCCCCTTCGCTATTAACTTACAAAACAAAGGGGCAGCTGCAGGAAATCTCGCCCATGAAGTGGGTAAGCACGGTGCTGCTGCACATCCCTTTGTGGTTGCAATTGACGATGGTGCTACAGCTTTCCCCTTCGCTATTAACTTACAAAACAAAGGGGCAGCTGCAGGAAATCTCGCCCGTGAAGTGGGTAAGCACGGTGCTGCTGCACATCCCTTTGTGGTTGCAATTGACGATGGTGCTACAGCTTTCCCCTTCGCTATTAACTTACAAAACAAAGGGGCAGCTGCAGGAAATCTCGCCCGTGAAGTGGGTAAGCACGGTGCTGCTGCACATCCCTTTGTGGTTGCAATTGACGATGGTGCTACAGCTTTCCCCTTCGCTATTAACTTACAAGACAAAGGGGCAGCTGCAGGAAATCTCGCCCATGAAGTGGGTAAGCACGGTGCTGCTGCACATCCCTTTGTGGTTGCAATTGACGATGGTGCTACAGCTTTCCCCTTCGCTATTAACTTACAAGACAAAGGGGCAGCTGCAGGAAATCTCGCTTGTGAAGTGGGTAAGTACAGTGCTACGGCACATCCCTCTATGGCTGGAATTGACGATGGTGCTACAGCTTTCCCTCTCGGAATCAAAGTAGAAGAAGGAGGTTGCGCAGCATACCCTTTTGAGAGTGATAAGAAAGATATGGATGCCCAAGCGTACCTTTTGGAGAGTGATACTTTACCATACCTTAGCGAGAGCGAGGAAGAAGATGTTGATGACTCCGAGTGCCCTCTTGCGATTGACGAAGAAGAAATTGACGACTCCAAGTGCCCTTTTGCGATTGAGGAAGAAGAAATTGACCCTTTACCATCCTCCCTGGTGATGGACGAAAACGGTCTAGCTGCTTCAGCATGTCCCCTTGTGACTGACGAAGAAAATTCTGATTCTTTAGCATGCCCCCTTGTGGTTGAGGAAGAAGATTCCAATAACTCAGCATGCTCCCCTGTACCTGGGGAAGAAGATTTGGAAGCCTCAGGATGCCTTTCTGTTACTGAAAAAGAAGATCCTACCTCTTTCGCACGCTCCGCAAATGAGGTGAACAAACCCGATGCCTCACCATTCCCTTGTGTGATCGAAGAAGATCTTGATTCTTTGGAATACAATCCTCTGATCGAAAAAGAAGGCCTCAGTGATTCCGTCTTCCCTCCAGAAATTCAAACTGATGACGAAGAAGGTGTAACAAGTGAACCTGAAAATACCGTTGGTTATGAAGGTGCTGTAGCAGTTCAATCTGAAAAGGAGGCAGTAGAAGAAGAACCTAAGACCTGCCAACTAGAGTACACGAAGGATAAACAAGACGATCTTGGAAACTATATGGACGACCAAAGTGATGCTGTAGACTTTCTTGACGGTAAGGCTAGCGTACAAGAGTATGATGGTAATCAACTTACTGCTGCGGATACAGACGAAACCGGAAGTGACGAAGACGAGGAGTCATCTGAAGCAACTCCTCTTGTGCAGGACTGAGGCTTTACAGCAGAATTGCTGAACCTCTAAGGTTGTTGTCTTATAACACTCTATGGTAATTTGTAGTTATATTTCGAGAACTTTAGCCTCAACATTTCATAGTTTTTGATTTTAAGACGTTGGTTTTATCGTACTTTTTTAGTTAGTAATGCTTTGGTAGTGATGATAACCATTTTCATAGTTTATAAATGGAGGTTAAGTGGAATTTCCTTCAAAGAAAAAACTTGTTTATTTACTTCACTTTTGCATTTCTTAGTTTACCGTTTATTCACTTGGTGCACTTTTCAGTGCTTTGTTGATGTTATTGACTGTAGGCTGATAGAGACAAAAAAAAAAAAAAAAAAAAAAATTACTGTTAAGATAATTTTTATAACTGATCAAGTCAGAAATGCTGCGTAAGTTTGTGAGTGTTGTTCCTAGTATAAGTAATATTTCCTAATCTAATTAAGAATAATTTACTTGTTGTAAAGCACTCCCTAAATGCTTCAATAAACTTATATAAGCTAAACTCGTTTCGTTTACTCCATTCATTGCAGCAAAATTGCTGGTCTGGATCTAATTGTCGATTTGAAGGACACCATAAACTAAAATGACATTTAATTAGGCTCCTTCAAAGAGTAAGATTGACGAAAATCCAGTAGCGCTGCGTTAGTTCTGATTAGTGTATATATTTTTCTATCCCCAGCTTACGCTCGCTTAGCAACCAAAAGTAGCATATTTTTAGCGTATTATTAACCCAATACATTTTATCTTTTTTGTAGACAGCTACTGACTCACGGGCCTTTTCAATCGAGTTCTCTACTCCAATTTGTTGATTAGATGGGCGGTAGTAAGCTGATTAGTCTTGAATGTTAAAATTTCACATCACTGCTTCTAATCATTGTCTGAGAAAGTGTTTTAAAAAGTTTGAAACATAGATGAACCCATTCTGATGATTCTTACTGCAGAAGTTGGCCTAAAAAGATATTTCAAGTGCCAGGATAGCATTGTTTTCTATTTTTTTCTCTCCACAGTTTCAGATATTTCGGCGTCTCGGGATATTGTGTTTGAATGTTGTTGATATTAATCATGCCTTTCTGGTGCACTTCGGCGGCAAATCTGTCGTGTTTAATCGAGCAATGGATTGCGTTTTCGAGAAACACAGTCTAGCTAGTATAATAATGGATTCTCATTTAATCATTTTTCAGTTTTGTTTTTACCTCGGGAACTTACATATAAAGCTAAGATCGACCAATTTTACGAAACTCGTTTTTAGAGAAATAGGCAACGGTGGTTATTTTCTTATTGTCCGTTGTTGTGTTTCTAGACACGAGCAAACCCTTTGAGAAAATAAACGAAGGCATTTTGAATGAGAAAATCATGGAAAATTAAGTCTGGCCTTCCGGCGTGGCTTTGTTCATTATTAATCTATCTGATAGACAACAAGTAGTGCTCATGAACTCCGAGTTCTCTGACCCTCTGCTCTTTGAATCCGGAGTGCCACAAGCCGGTATTCCACGACTTGTTTTATCCAGAATTTATGTACTAGACTAGTCATATGCTCATCAATCTTGTTTAACTGAACATTATTGGATGATACTAAACTTCAAATTTCTTTCCCAGTTCGGCATTTATCTTTTTGACTGTTCAATATACGTAGTAGTAAGCATTTATCGTTCAAATAGGGCTTTGAAATTTCTGCACACCAAATTAAAAAGCAGGTGCAGGTGGCTAGAGGTGAATATTTACCTCTCCGCTTCGCAGCTTGTTAAATATCCACCATAGCCAATTCCACTTCGATGAATAGTTAAGAAATAATCATTTGATAAACTTCCAATGGAGCGATTAGCACCGCAATTTATCGTGATAATACAAACATTTCAGAGATGATAACAATAGTACATGGATCATTTTTCTATCCATATCTTGTAAAATTAATGTCTATGAAGTAAATTTAAATAAACTTGAAAGGTCTTGGTTGGCCACCAAACACCAGCACGTGCACAACAATAACTTAAGTGCGTCAATAATCATATACTGTTACCCTTTGTGCTATCAAAACAAGCAAGCTGACATATCTGTTAACCAAAAACGGGTTATTTATGCGACTAAGAATAAAGTATTTGAAAGCCTGATGACCCAATTTGCAAGTCGCTGGCTAAATACTATAACAGGTACTGATAAGTAAACACGTAAAACTTCTTGAAAACCGTCAGGAGAAGGAGACAGATTGTGCTTTTCTGAGTGAGCGTGACCGAGATTGCGATCCTCCCAAACTCTAATTCTTAGGCTGAGCAATGGAGGGCTTTGCTATGGAAAAAAAAAATTCACAAGAGAGCTCACGCTAAACATAACAAGCACAGCCTTGTCAGCGTTGGGGAAACAACGTCACGTTTTCATTCCAGTTTTGAACATTGTTCTCTCCATAACAGCAACACTCGGAAACGTTTTGATTCTTGTGGCACTCCGTAAAGTTTCTTCTCTTCACCCTCCAACAAAGCTTCTGTTTCGATGTCTGGCTTTCACTGATCTTTGTGTTGGCCTCATCTCATAGCCTCTCTACGCTGTGGCTGTGATGCCTCGGTCAACAAAAATGAACAGAGATCTTCTGAGCTATTTCATCTTAGGAAATTATGTTTCAAGTTACATCTTATGCGGAGTATCAGCTTTAACATCCACCGCTATAAGCTTAGACAGGCTTCTTGCTCTCTTATTGGGGCTTAGGTACAGACAAGTTGTTACCCTGAAACGTGTCCGTGTAGTTCTGTTATGTCTTTGGTCAGTAAGCGTCTTTGGTGGATCAATGTATCTTTGGAGTATTCGTGTCACCTGGATTGTAGTTGCTTTTTTTTTCTGATACTTTGCCTTCTTACTTCTATTTTCTCTTACATAAAGATTTATATCAAGTTGCTGGAGCATCAAGCACGAGTCCGAGACAGCGTCAATCATGGGCTGCCCAACGGGGGAGGAATTCCGCTAAATGATATGACAAGGTACAAGAAGACAGTTTCTAGCATATCATGGGTACAGTTGGCACAGATTTTTTGCTATGCTCCTTATGGGATTGAATCTATATTATGGATACAAGGAGTGACATCCGAAGGCTCGGTTAGCTGGCTTTCCACAGCAACTTTGGTTTATTTAAATTCGTCTCTGAATCCCATTCTTTACTGCTGGAAGATGAGAGAAGTAAGACAAGCAGCAAAGGACACAGTAAAACAATTGTGTTATTTCTTGAATTAAAAAACTATCCAAACTACGCAAACTACAGAAATTTTTCTCTTCTCTTCGTTATTGAGATTTAACGCCTAAAGGTACAGAAAACTTAAAGGCAAGAGAAGATGCTTCATTATGTTTAAAAGAACTTCACAGATGTCATAGCATGGAGCTCTCTAATTTTTTTTTTTTCACCACAAAAGGACAAAGTGAAAAATATCATCGGAGAACAAAGAGGATTTCTGCCTTCTGATTCCTCGCAAGTAACCTTAAAACTGAGCTCCAAAGAATTTGCTAGAGTCAGTTGATCCTGAGGTTGAAAGCACATATGCAGCCTTATGAGACTGAGAAAATCATTGACAAATGAGGTCATAATGAAAAAACGAGCTTGTTATATAGTTATCAATTCCACAACCTCAGAAACGTTTGACGCCAGACACGAAGCAAAGCTAAGCAACCCACCTGAAACAGCAAGAAAGGGGGTAAATTTCTTAAGAAACTGTGGTGCTGCGTCTGGGGGAGAGTATCATGACAGGGTAATTTAATATTATCAGCTCATTTGATAACGTAAATTGGCCACCGTAAAGGGTTTCAAAGCTGAAGCTTCGAGCGTTAGCCCTTTGTCAAAGCAAATGATTCCTTTGATATTACGTTAGCAGCTTGAAATGTAACCTGGATACTGTGAAGGCAGTACACTAAAAGTTACTGTTGACAACCAGGCATGTGGTCTAGCGGCGCCCGGTCGCCAGAGGCGACTAACGTTTGGATTCGGGCGACTGAAAAAAATTGCTGTGGTCGGTCGGGCACTCTTGTCTCTCGGTTCAGTTCTTTAGTATTCAAGACGGGGGAAATGTGCGACGCGCTGTTGTCCGTTTATTGTGTTAACGACACATCGCTTAAATTTCGTTTGACACTAGACACGCAAGCTTGTTTACTCTCGCACGCTTAGATCTGAAGTTTCGTCGTACATAATTTAACAAATATCAACCACTATAATCTCCGACAAAAGACGTGAACGTTCTGAATCTTAGTACCATTTCCCGAAATATCATCTCAGTTTTCCATTTGGATGTTTCATCATCGTTTTTGGAATTGTTTCAAATCGTTATTTTGAAAAAGTCTTCATTTATGCAAATTTATCGCGTTTTCTGGTCGGCGTAATTTGATAGCTTGTTTGCACAGAGTGCGCAGCTTTGGGTGATTAGTTTCATTTCTTCAGAATTCACATCTTGACAATGAAATGGTCAATGCCATTTTCATTCATCGAAAGCTTTTGCTGAACGAAATGCCTGGTGTCTGCTTATTCCCTTTTTAAGCACACCATCTAATGGATCTGAACGGTGCTATTTCGCTAATTCCACTCACTTCCTACAACTTGGTTTGGGCGAGAGAGTTTATTACCACATGTAACGAATGATTTCTTGCTGTTTTTTTTTATCATAGCACTAGTTGAAATTTTTTTGCATTTTTCTTTTAATAGTCTTTCGTCTGCTAGTTTCCACTTATTCATAACAAAAAAAAATTAATTATTTTGCCGCGAGTGTGTTCCTAAATTTAGAACTCATTAGCTAGAGTCAGTTTGCCTGCACGTCATCAAAATATGTGAGTGAGTGGTGGTACTCTTAAACTTATCAAGAAACATAAGTGCAAGGCTAAAAAATCTTTGTGAAAATCTTAGCTCGATATCAATTTTTCCTCGGAATGAATACGATTAGGAACTGAAGAGGAAACACAACTTTAAAAATTAATGAAAACTGCTTTGTAACGAAGAGGCTGTAGCGTGCGGGAAAACAATGTTAGCACCGCAATTAGCCAGCTGAAAAGAAAAAAAATTACCTCTATGTTTCGTTGAAGTAAAATGAAAAAATAAGCCACAGGAAATATTGGAAAATCACCATATGAAAAGATTATCAGAAAAATAAATGATATTGACCGAAAACGCTTAAACTAGATTTTTGTCTTTTGAACAGAAACCCCCCCTTCCGCATTTGAAAGTCTTACACTGCTAGAGAGACTTACACATAATCGCTTGGTCATTTCGGAAACTAGATTCGTTCTTTGGATGTTCAGTTTGGTGTTCAAGTATTCAAGAAGGGAGTTCTCAACGCCTTCAACAGTGAGAGAGTGGTAACTGCAATAAACTAACATAGAGAACCTAACAGGAAATACGAACCAAATCAGAATTGTTCAATTTCGTTGCTTCACGGGCGTATATGATCGAAGTCTGCTTATCAGTTTGTTTCATTACGTGATTTTGTAATTTCCATTGCAGCCATTGTGGGAAATGGTCTCATTCTTTTCCCTCTCTGCAAGATTTCTTCCCTTCATCCACCATCAAAATGTCTGTTAAGTAATCTTGCATGCACTGATGTTAGCGTTGGACTCATTTTCCAGCCGTTTCATCTTGCTTACATAATTTCCCAAGAACACTCTTCAATTTGTTATTGTGCCTCACTCATGAACCGAGCCTTGGGGGTCATTTATGGCGTGTCTGTCCTCACACTAACTGCAAAATGAGTATAGAGACGGACTTTAAGATGTTTCAGTTGGGCTAAGATATCGACAAGTGGTAACTCTGTGGCGAGTAAGAGTAACTTTAGTCATTTGCTGGCTTGTTTGTATTACAAGAGGAATAAGAAATCATTTCATCCTTCCTTTCGAAAATTCGAGAAATAAGACAAGCCGTAAAGGAGAAGATTAAACCGTTTTACTGCAGATCGGATTGGATTCAGAATGACTCGCCCCATGTGATTTCCTGCTGCAAGACGAAATAGTGAAACAATGAAATGTAAAAGATAAAATCGTTGACAACAAGTAATAATGATATAACAATTAATTGTGAATCTCGCGAAAACAACGGCAAATGAGTCTTTCTATGGCACTGGACAAACCGGGATCGCTTCTTCAATTCGTGTGCAACCATCTGATCCCACGAGAAGAAAAAGAGAAAAACTAAACAAGCAAACAAACAAGCAATTTTATCTCAAGGGATTAATAATTAATGATACTTTCATAGGATGATTCATAAAATTTTCTTATTATACAGACGGTATAGATATAATTAGCGAACAACTCAGAAAAGATACTAATTGTCAACTGAAATTCATTAAAAATTTCTGAATCGGTTTTATAAAATGAAATAAAGTTTACAGATATCACATAGTATCGTGAAACATTTAGAGAAGATGGAGCACTCGAAAGACATAATTTCACAGTCAGGACATAAATGTAATAAGATTTGCTATTACAGTCAGGTTGCTTTTTCAGTGAAAACTAATAACTGCGGTCTGAATGATACGCGACTTTTTAAGCGAAACGTACGCTCAAATTAAATGTAGTGTGTACTTAAGTCTTAACAATAATACCCTCTTTCGCTCCTTTTGTCATAAAACAATGAAACAGTTGACTTTCGCTCGATAACAGTATTTTTCCATGCAAATTCATTCTTCATTCGCCTGACTAAATGAATACCGCCGTTGCTAAGATTATCTGCTGTAATCTGCATTGGCTGCGCTTCAAAAGATTTGTTCATATCGAAGTGAGAGATTTCCCGGCCTTCTTTTCGCAGATATAAGCTTCTACATATAGTCTTAAATTACTTGGAAAAATTAATTTCGCCAGGCTGGAAATTACAACAGGTTTGTAAAGATTTTATTTCCTCGCGTAGAGGTTATCTCAAAAACGAGATTAGTATGTTTAAAATCATATACGTAAACCGTTCCTCACTGTCCTTAACCCTTAAAATTCTAGACCCAGTTTATGCCTATACGCTATTCTTAAATAATTTTGGCAAATTTCGCTTACTTCCCCCAAATTTTCTTAGATAATTATCCATCTAAAGGCCTATGACAAGAAAACGAATGTTAATGGCGCCGTTTCACTCGGTGGAGCTGTCTGTTTGTTTCGGCATTTTAACAGTGCATGCGCCGTTAACATTTTGGTGTGTACGAAAAACAAAAAATTTAGCAACTTTTCAAGATGTTTTCCGACGATACTGATTTATACCATCTGATAGTCAAAATTAATTTTGGCTGAGATAGATAACGTCCTTTGAGAAAAGCGAAACACAAAGATCGATCGCCGATCTAAAGAATCGAATCGTATTTAAATTTTTTGTTTTGGTCTTTCTAGTAAATTGTTTAAGGTACCCAGTAGGAAGCATTTCTGATCGGTTTGAATAGATTTTGAATTTTCTGCAAAAATTTCCCAAAAATCTAAAAAATTCAATCGAATTCAAAATGACTAAAAGTCGCCCAAAAGTGAACACTAAATGTTTCATGAAGCCGGCATCAAATTATTTACCTGTCCTTTGTTTTTCTTCGGAACGAGTCTGTACAATTTAATGGTACGCTCCAAAACATCTTCAAAATACAGTAAAGATTCATTTCAAGATCTATATTGTGAAATGAAAGCAGAATAGAATAAATGGGATGAATAAGAGATAAGGTGATAAAATTCGCTATTCTTTGATCCCCAATGAAATTCAATCGACGTGATTTTTTTCTTTACAGCTGGCCTCGACATAATATGGTAGCATCACACAAATACGTTCATAGCATAGTGCAGATTGATAATCTATTTTTTGTTCTTATCATCAAACGCCCCCAGTGTTTGTCCAGTTCCTATGAAAGTATGAAAAAACTCTCAACTCAAACTGCAGTAAGGTTCTCTCATCTTTTATTTTTGCCAGATTTCACGATAATTCTCGTCTTGTGAAGCCATTGCCCTAGGAATCGGACTATTTTGTGGTATATAAGGAGAAAAAAAAGAGGCTCGAGTTGCTATTTGCACTAAACAAATTTTAATTATTACTGTTATTTAAAATTTAGATCTACTGGTCGACAAGTGTCATGTGGCACATGACACTTGTCGACCAGTAGATTTAAATTTTCTATACCCTTAATCTGAACGCCCATTATGGTGTCTTGAAACCACTGATTCAACCTTCTCTTCATATTTCGGACATTTCAAGTGCTCGACATTACGCGATTCTTCTCACCCAGACTTCTCCAATGTACTTGGCAGCGGAGGGTTTGAGCAAGAAAATATACCTGAGAAGCCTGTATGTTTCGTCATTTTTTAGGCGATTATTATGTGCAAATTCTTACAGTTTTTCTTTCTTAACTACTTTGCTTGGGTGTTGTTCCAGTCAGTCTTACAAACCACAAGATGACGAGCGAGAAAAGAGTTGAAGTTGAAGAAATGCTGGAACGTATCCAGTCTCATAAAGGAGTTGTAGGACTTGTCATTGTTAGCGAGGATGGAAATCCGATCAGGTCTACACTGGACAACTCGACCACCCTTCAATATGTGTCCATGTGTAACACGCTCTGCGGGATTGCACGCGGGATCGTGAGGGACACCGACCCGCGAAACGATCTGAAAATTCTGCGCGTGCGCACCAAGAAGCATGAAATCATCATGGCGCCTGAAGGAGGGAAACATTTGATCGTGATTCAAACAGGAGAACAAACGCAGCAAACTTTAAAAACCCTCATAGACTAGTTATTATTATTATTATATTATTATTAATAATGTTGTTATTATCATTATTGTTATTATTGTTATTATTACTTTTAAATTATATCTTGTTTAGAATCATTTTGTGTGTTTGTTTGTTTGTTTGTACGAAATATCGTGCTTGTAACCGAGGACGGACATCGACAATACCAAATAAATAATTTGACTTACTGTTATTAAGTGAAAAAATGATGAATTGTCGTTCCATAATAGCACTTGGTATCAAATATCGCTGCGCCACGAATAACCGCCGCTATTTAAAAAATTAGAGGCTGCTGTGGTCATTGCGATGATAAAAGGAGTCTATGATAGGTTATAAATGTTTATCTGAAAAAAAAAAATACGTAACGTAAGCTGACGCGACAGCCAGGTCTCTAAATTAAAACAGTGATTTTAATGGCGACGGAGCAAAAACTGTTAATCCTATACATATTGATTAGCCGAAAGATTTATTTTCATATATGAACTCTGTTTTCCACTGCCCTGGTTTACGACATCGGCTTTAAACAATTATAGCTTATCTAGCATTTCAAATACTGCTTGCGGCTTAGTTCAAGGGCATGAACTGAAGCAGAGTTCCATGTGGACCCTTAAGCTTATCGATCAAAAATTTCCCTCGACCTCCAGATAGTCCGATATCTTAGTTTGGATTTCAAAATTGAAAGAAGAAAAGGTAAGTCGGTTTTTCAATGCTATTTCCTTGAAAAGGTCATGACTTAGCGAAGAGCACCCTAATAGAATCCTCCGAAGTCTTGACTTGAAGACGCTGGACTAAACAGAAGGCCTGCGCTTTAAACAACAGTGATATATTGGGGAGGGGAGGGACAGATCACACAAAGCCTCCATAGCAACACGTAACAACAGTTACTCATAAAGTTTCCAAGATGGCGGACAACATTGACTTAAATACTGTCTAGGTTTAGGGCCTGGAGCACTTTTATTTATGTTATCTATGTATCGTAGCCGATGAATATGAAAGCAGCAGGTTCCGAACAATACGAAGAGTATGGAATTAAACCGCCAAAGGTTCGAAATCTCTTACCTTCGAAGAAATTCCGTGACAACGTTAGGAAATGGGGCGAATCGTCGGTGTTGAGTAGAAGACGAGTTATAATTGTGCCCAGCATAAAATGTGCGGCTAGAGAAGTGAATGTGACAACAGAAGATAAAGGTAAGGACATGGATGATACAGGATATTTGGTCAGTCTTACGCACATAAATGCATCATTTCTTTAAAGAAGCTTTTAAAAACATTATCTGTACATGTGCCTGCATACACGCTTTTTTTTTGAAAAAGTTCAAGGAAGGCAATTAAATTTTCTACGAACTCGATGTACGCGGTTTTTAAGAAAAGACTGTAGATAAGTAACGGGTGCCTCATTGTAAGTGTCTGATCAGGTGAACGATCATTACTGCGTGCCATATTAAGGTAAAAATCTTAGTGTGTTCCCTTGAAATCTGAGTTGAAATGCTCAAGTTACGATTCGCCTTCAAAGTTCATCCCATCAACCAGGTAGGATTGTTTATATGGGAAAATATCTGAACCAGCCAATCTTGCCAATCCGCTCTAGTCTGTCGATTACTTTATGGAGTAATTGAATTTTATAAAAACCAGTAAAGTGTTAAAGCTAAATCTCTGAAATCAACCCAGTGGGCTTTACTTAGCTCAGATGAAGAAGCTATGGCATAATTTTTGTTCACACTGATGATTCATTGAATTTACAAAACATATCAGTATCTTAATTATTACTGTATTACTAAAAATAAGAAAGTTTTTTCCCCAAAAGATTAATTTACTTTGACTATTAAACCATTCAGACAAGAATGTTTATCAAGATTCTGAAGATGACATATTTGCTCGGCAAGTTGAAAGATACAAAAAGCAGTTGCAGGAACGGAAAAAGACCAGGGAAATTTTAAACAACTGTGGGCTCAGACAAGACTGGCTTAAAAACAAGACTGGTAAAACTGAACTTGAAAGAAGAGTTTTGAAAAGAATACTGTTGAAAGGAAAACCTGAGATTACAATCAAAAAGGTGTGTTACTTAACCCTTTAACTCCCACGATCTGATTGTTAATTCTCCCCTCTAGCTGCTACTCATTTCTTTGTAAATAAGTTAGAGAATTTGGTGTCATTGAGATAACAACTTCAACCAGATAAGTTTGAATATTCTCATGACCTGTTTGCTGGATAATGTTTGGATATTATAGAGAGAAGTAACTTGTTAATCACTCCTGGGAGTTGAGGGGTTTAAGAATATGTTTTAAATCATGTGAGAGCTTTCCTTGTTGAATAACTAAGAACAAAAACTGAATAAGTCAACACATGCCATAAGGATGTGGGTCAAGCCTCAGGCACAGAAATTTAGTGAGAAAAAAAAAAAGTTTGTTCAAGCAACATTGTTAGGGCTGATAATTCATTCAAAAACATGCAACAGATCAGTTTCTCTAATAAAACATCTTTTCTGGAGCAGCCCAGACATAAAATTATGGAATCTATGGAAAAGTCATTCTGTTTACTTTTGGTGAAAATATTTGAAGAATCTTCCTATGTTGTAGATCCTCAAAGATCTTCATAACGACCTTTGAGGATCCTTCAAGGATATTCTGAGCTCTTACAAGTTGTTATCTACTTGTAATAGTGTGAGCAGAAAGGCTAATAATGATGAAGATTATGCTCGCACAACCACCTCTACATGTTTCTTGGCTTTCCGTGATGTTTTTTCAGATACATTATACATGTAAACAAGTAATAACATGATTTCTCTAGCAATTTGTTGAAAAGCACTTGTAAATTTTTCAAAGACTAAAAATTAAACTTGCCCCACCAGCTTGTACAATTTTGTTGTCTATGAAAACTTTACTCCTGCTTATTAACACCAAATTGCAAGAGAAATCATGTTATTACCTATACTTCTACCATTTCTCGGAGAATTAAAGGAAATGTAGAAACAGGGCTGGGCTGAGCTCCAAATTTTCAATACAAGTTTTAACAAAGGATGGCTGTGGAGGTCAATCACCCCTCCCCTACTTATACCACCAACGAAATGAAAAACTTTGTGTCAGTTTTTTCAACTACTGTGTTGATGCATGATTATTGTTTTTAATATCATGGATCTACCATAGTTACTGGCACAGTGGGTTCATACTATGAAACAGCTTTTACTGATTTTAAAGCTGCCGCAAGTCCTTTTATCACTCATCTTTGAGGCTCATGCCAGTGTAATAATGCATTCATGTTCTTGTATTAAATTTTCATTTTGTTACTCACCAGGCTCCCACTCCTCCCCCAGAGACTGAAGAGGACACAACAGTAACTGGTGAAGACAGGGGGGTACCTACCATTCACCATCCCTCCCCAGCTGCCTTAGCAATCATTCAAAAATACTTAGATCGCAAAAGGATGCGCCTGTTGGATCTGTTTGCTCAAGCTGACAAAGACAAGAACTGGGTGGTGTCACGGCAAGAGTTCAGGAACATTATCCGATCATGGCGGATTCCACTCACAGATGTTGATTTGGAGGATTTGATATTGGCTCTGGACAGAGATAACAGTGATGCATTAGACTACAGAGAACTGGCAGTTGGTAGACAGTCGTATCTGGAGGAGAGGTGGGCATACATGTGCAATATTCTGTTTCAATTTGCAAATCTGAACTACTTTTTTGTCGCTCTTATCCAGGGCTGTTACAATTTTTTGGGTTTGTCCTGTTTGGCTTTGTTTGAGTGCTCTTATATTGGACATTCACAGTTTTGTACAAACAAAATCAAAGATGCAATAGCCAATGAAAACAAAGAACAATATCAGAAGGGGAAATGAGAACTAAGAAATAAACACTTTGAATGAGGTAACTGGCTGCCAGCTTAAGCAAATACCAGTGACAAAGTTACAATTGGTTTTGGGTTTGCATGTGATTAACCCTTTAACTCCCATTAGTGATTAACATGAAACTTCTCCCAATAATATCCAATAACATTATCCAGCAAACAGGTTATGAGAATACTCAAACTTATCAGGTAGAGGTTGTTATCGTGATCTAACACCAAATTCTCTTAACTAAATTACAAGGAAATGTCTAGAAGCTAGAAGGGAGAATTATGCATCAGATCTTGGGAGTTAAAGGGTTGGGTTATGGCTGGGTATTATGTTTTTTTTTCAATAAGGCCAGTCAGTCAGATCATACCAAATCAAATATTCAAATATTACAATGTTCTTTCAACTTCTAATATTAATGTGTAAAGCTTTAATGTCAAGAGGCTGGAAGTCATTGAATGTCCCCTAGCACACAAGTATTGGAAGGTAGACTAAGAAAGCAGTGGTCAGTACCTGGCCACTTTGCGGACATGTCAACTTGCCAAAACCAACTGGCTGACACTATTAGTTATCTACATGTGGTGTGGTATATTGGGGTCAGCAAGTTGTCATGGCCTCAAAGTGACTTGTTACTGGTCAGTTACAACACTGAATTTCACAGGTATATGAACAAAATTCCAAAAACGTAGGTGTTGGGTGACATAGGCTCCACAACAGCAAAAAAAATGAAAAAAGAAAGGAATAAAGAACAATAAAAATATAACCTTACACAGCCTTGATTTAGATGAGATTATGGCATGAACTGGCAAATTGGGTGCATTAATTTTTAACCTTCATTTCTTTTGAAGGGTCACTAAACAAGTGGCAGAGATTGTCCAAACTGCTAACACTAAAACTTCCAAAAGACCTGAAACCATTTTTGAGGAGCCTGAACCTGCTTATGACCCCACTAACGAAAAATGGTCTGGCACTGGAACACAAAGACCTCCATCACCTCAAAGACCACCCTCACCACGAGCCAACCCTCAAAAAAGACCCTCATCCTCACCACAGAGACCCTTAACCCCTTCATCTGCTCCTGTACAACCAGTGGCCTTTATAGCACAGCGGCCAGGGTCTGATCCCCAGTTGCGGCGCTCTCGGCCTGTGTCACCCTCAAGTAGTGGAAGTATTGAGAGCTTATCACCCACCCTGTTGGAGATACCACCTGTTCAGTTATCAGAGAAAGTGGACCAGTTGACTCAAGATGAGGTATGGGACTGATCTCCTGGAAGGAAGGGGGGGGAGGTGGCGGGTGTCTGAGGATTCTGGTTGTGTCTCGGTAAAAAATGACCCGACCCCTACCCTCAGTATCCTTCTTTTTCATAGTCCTCCCTTTATACTTTGTTAACGACGACTAATGATTCCCCTGAAAACCATGTGATCTGAACAAAATCAGTGAAAATAATAGCCAATCAGAAGAAGAAGGAAAATACCTTAAAGAGCCAATGAGAGCTCAAGGTTAAAAACAATGCGACTGCCTAAAGCGCGGGAAAAACGCGGGCGACCAAGTCGTGTCGGTTTTAGTTTTGCAGCTAATTGGTTGAGAGAGTGGCGTGAGTTTTCTGGACCAATCACAAAGCGAAGTAAAAAGCAAAACAAGGCATTCCGGACTAATTTTGGCACTTAATTAAAAATTGCTCTTACTTGATCATATTATTAATCCTTGTTAGTCTGGTTGTTGTTTTTTTCACTCAATTTATTGCCCTCAAATGATGGAGAAGTCGACGATGAATCTTGTTATCCAATATAAAAGACTTACATGTATCTAATCATGCGAACTAAACTTATAGGGTCACGCTCCACCAGGATGCATTGCGGGGGTAATGACCATTCTCAGTGCTTTCTGTCATACAGAAAGGGAACGTTTACCGGGTTTGACATATTATTGTCTTGCGAATTCTTCAATTTTGTCTTTCGTCCTGTCCCATAGACAGAAAAGAGGTCCTCAATGGGGTTAACCGATAGCAGTAAAACGGCCACAAAATTTAGTCGCTAGGCGTAAAAATTTACAAATTTTAACCGTTATTCGTAAAAAAAGGTAACCGTAAAAAACATTTCTAGTGGAAACAACGGAAAGATGTTAACCATTAGCCATAAAAGCCATCACCTCATTGAGACCGTCAGAAAACGTCATCAGTATGCCTCTTCTAAAGTGGCGATTTAGTTATACTCTTGGTCATAATACCCTTCTTCTAATTGTGCAATGAAAACATTGGCACAAGGTATTGCTGTTGTGGCATTCTTTGCCGTTACCGTTCGGTTTGTGAGAAAAAGTATGGAGTTCCTGGATAATAACGATAACAGTGGCGCACGAAGCACACTGTTTGAGCGCGGCGCTTTGAGATACTGAAAGATCCGTCGCTTTTTATGTACGCGAACACGGTTCATTGAAGTCCAGATGTATGATGGAAAATAAAGTGACATAAAATTTAAAGTAAAGAACTTATTTCTTCATTGGCAGCCCTCAGCCACCATACAGAGGCACAATGTAACCTTTTTTTTTGTGGTATTTCAGATAAAAGACAGACGCATGAAAAAACAACAAAAACGGAAAGAAAAAGAAAAAGCCAAACAGAAAAAGAGAACTGCGCCAGAAAAAGTGTTCTGTGGCTCCATCCACCTAGGGGTAGGGTGGGGAGATGGTGGATCGCTACCGAAAGATGACCATGAAGGAGTATAATGATGTCGTGGAACTTTGCCATATGCACGGAGTGCAGCTGAGTAAGGATCTTCTGGAGCGAGGTTAGATTGTGTCGGAGGTTATTAATTTTATTTGTATCTATGTAGGGTTGAATGTATCTATGAAGGGTTGAATTTTTAACATTAAATTGTAATGCGCAATTGAAAAATCTTACATTGATGATTGCGCAATATAAGTCTATAAATTATTGTTATTATTTATTTTTATATGGTGAGGCATTCTTGAGGTAAATCCGAGTGTTCTGATTGGTTCTTGCTTGGCCAGGATTTTGGCATACGAACCTTTCCGGTAAAAATGGTCTTGAACCGTGTATTTTGGCTCTCGAAAGCCGAAAAATTAAAATAAACAAGTTTAGTGCAAATGCCATATAACACACTATTTACTGACCGCGCTTGCTCGAGCGGTACCGGGGAATATTGGCGCCTGGTCGTTTTATACGGACCCCGCTTTGCTCTCTTTTTTCGGAGTTTGAGTAGCCACCAGAGTCCCCATCAGAGCGCGCCTTCAATACTATCCACTGTTTAAGCATATAGTGGCACAGAGTACAAATTACTTTTTAGTCAGTGTCTGGAGCGCTTCACAAGAGTATGTCGCTGGCCGAAAAGCAGGAAATCGCAGCAGCGAATCAAATCTGCGGAAAATATCACTAGGAGCTAATAATGAATCTCAAAATGAAACAAAATACCTTGAACGCGGGAAGGGCAGCAAACTAGGCAGCGAATTGTGGTTAGCGAGAGAAGGCAAAGCTACAACCATTCCACAAACCCTCATTCAGTTGACAATGTGTCCATGATGCTTGCTATTTAACATTTAAGCTGTGTATTATAGTTGAACGATAGCCATTAGTTTTTCTAGCTTGACTCATCTTTCTAATCCCTATTTTTGTTATTTATATGTTTATGATTTTTTTTCAGTTCTCCTTCAACCAGAAGATAAACCGCTGTCACAGATAAAAGCTGACCGCGCGAAAACCTGGACTCTTTTTCAATCTCAACTAGGCATCACATACCACAAGTTAAGTTCCAGTCCTCCACGGCTGGAAGCAACAAGCGGCGGCCGAATTTTAGAAACCCGGGTCCAAACACGTGACAAATGACTTTCAATATCAAGCGGCCAAGGTTATTTTTGTAGCGACAGTACATAAAAAGCTAAAATTGGAGAGACAAAAATAAAGACTTACTCGTTAGATCGAAAACTATACGCTACTTTTTTTGTTACATTGTAAATCAAAGTACTCGAAGGATAATTACTGTAATAAAAGCGTTTATCAGGTTGAGAAGAACGCTTGCTAGTAAGTTTGTTTCAGTCGAAATTTATTGGGAATTAAATTTCTTTGGTTATCCTCATCCGTGGGGATGGTATTAGTGAGGTTACTGGTACGCATTGCATTACTGGCAGTGTGCTTTCTCAGTACATAATTTAATCATATCATTTGAGGCATAACAGTAAAATAATAGGTTTGGCTGAAGGTGTTTGGTGCAAAAAAATGCAAAAATGAGCAAAAATTTCGGGCATTAGTTGTATTGTTTATACCCATGTAGCCAAGGCTTTTAAGGATAATTTGATTTTGTTTTTTGATGTTCGTATGTATGTCGCGTTTCGAAGCTTGGAAAAAAAATAATAGTATTACTAAAAACAATAATAACAATACTGATGATAATGATGGCAATGATAACAATATTTAAAAAAAGAATGTATATAAAATATTCTAAAATTGGATTTTGGACTACAGCCAGCTGTAAGCATCAAATTTGAGAGAAGGAAGCAGGCTGAAGCAAAGTAACACAGGTGTCACGAGAACTCATCCCGTAATTTGAGAATGAATTTTCTTAAAATGGCCATCAAAACAAGTAAGCACTAATGGATAGTCGAACGTGCCTGCTACACGTAGTTTTACGCTGAAACAGAACATTGATTCCACCTTAGCTGATACGTAAGTTCATAGATTTTATGTGGTGTAAATAAGGTACATGACGAATGGTTTGAAACCAATTGAGCCATTTTACCCTATGCTGTGGTTCTCGGTCAAGAAGAGGAGGCGTAAGAACTAACAAGTTCATTACAAAGCACATGGAACAGAACTAAACTAAGGAAACCAAATCACATGCAAGTGAACAATTATTAGCTGCCCAATTTTTGTATATGGTGGCCTGTGATAACTGCTGGCCGGAATCTAGGCAAGATCACGACACTATCCTAGAACGCGTAAATCGTCCAAGTCCTCTTCCATGGCTAAGATTAAAAATATTTGTTTTGTTTTGTATTGTTTTCATTTTTACCCTCATCTAATCGATGTTCTTGTGCCTTAGACCCAGTTCTCAGTGTGATCAAACGTCGTATACATACATAAGCATTTGGAAAACGAGCCAGAAATAAAAAGTCAAAATTTTCCGTGAAGCGAGTTTTTAATCGGGAGATATTGTGGGTTCAGGCGGCAGGATGTAACGCAACACTTGCCATACAAAAGCTTTATGCGTGACATCCCAGAGAATACCTGGCAAGGAAATCACCTAGCCGCCTCGCAGTTTGGTAAATATCTACCATTTGTTCATCTCCAATTCGTTTGGTTGTTATTTTATATTGCACGATTAAAACATCTCCTTTCGAACACTTTCAAGATTTTACCTGTACGTGAATTTGTAAAGTCATGGGTACAATAAAACTTCGAAGAAAAACACGGAAGACGTAACATGACACAATAATGACGGCAACAAGGTCATGGCAAAATAAGAGATCTTCTGCACGTGCGTTTTAAAATGTGTACACCGTACATCTCATAACTGTCCTCTTTAAAAGAGGAACGTTAAATCACCAAAATTTGAGTGGTGTGAGAGCAGAAAGCCCTGGCAAATTATCTAAGTTTCCATTTGAACTCAACGCTGCCATTCGCAAAGAAGCGGGCTGTTCGCGAGATACTACAGCAGTCGGCACTGTTGGCCTTGGATTCTCAAAATAGTTGGACATCATTGCTTTCAACTGGTTAGCTTTTTTTTGGCGGTTAACCGTTTGTACATAACATCTTATGTACTCTTGGTGTCCTTGAATCAACGAAAGACATGCTATAGATCTCTATGGGATCTAGAGCCCACTCACTCTAGCAAAGCATCAGTCAAAGGCATCAATCGCTTTTCGAAAAAAAAAAAAGCAAAACGAAACAAAGCAAAAAAAAAAACATAACAATCGTTAATTGAAGCACGTAAACTGGTTCCTCAGATGCTCAGAGGTAAGTAAACACGTAAACTGGTTCCTCAAATGCTCAAGCAAGTTAACTGAAATTTAGCCTATAAAAATCTCTCAAAAAAGGTTCACGATTTAAAAGTTTTGAGAAGCACAAAGAGAACATCATGATCATAAAGGGCGAAGCTCTTTCGCTTCTTGCAACGAGCGCTTTTGTCTTCTTATTAGCTGTAGGACCTTGTAGGGCCAGTTTCCTCTCCGCATCGCTGCAGTTCACTCGCGATGCCTTGATGGGTTTCTCACACGGATCGCAGAGGAGCGTGGAAATACTTACACCGAAGAAGACGAAAAGGATTGTTACCCCATGGAGCAGTTGACGGAGATTTTAGACAGATTACCTAAGACGCCGTCTAGATCCTCTAAACCCATTCCTGAATTCACTATCCCAACAAAAAACATTACTCGAGAAGAAATCACCTATACAAAGGAAAGCAGGACTTACAAACCGCGCTTATCACCATCCAACAAGTTCCTCGAGGCCATCAACGACATTGAACGGGCTGTCGCTAAAGCAAAGGCTTCAGGATTCCGTTACAGGAAAGAAACCTTCAATAAATTGAAAGGACTCCTAGCACGAGCGATAAGAAGTAAGAGCTACAAATATGCGCGCGAAGTTCTGGGCAAGATCATGTATCTTTTAAGCACCAAGTCGTCGGCACAGCGGCGAAGCAAGAGAACCACCTCAGGGAACAAAACCGCCCCTGAAACGGAAGGAGGCAATTTCCTTCAAGATCTACGGAGGCAACTCGGCGCCTCGGTGTTTGATAGCTTCATGGCTGTCCAAGGAGACGTGTCACTGATGTTTGCCATTGATAACACCGGAAGCATGCGTGAAGAAATTCAAGCAGCAAAAAATATCGCCATAGACATCATAAATTATCCTCGTAATTCCAGTGTGAAGAAATACATTTTGTCGCCTTTTAACGACCCCTACCCTGGTGCGTACAAAACATTTTATTTTTGTATTATGTTTGTCAGTTTGTTTGCTTTTTCAATTAGGAAGGGAGGTGTGAAGGATTTTGGGGGCACAGCATGGTTTTCAGGGTGAAGGGAGGGAAGATCAGTCATTGCTAACAGAGTATAAAGGGAGGGTAGGGGAACAACTATAGACAATTGACTGCCAATTAGCATCTAATTAAAGGGAGAGTCAAACAAAATCCTCCATCCCTACATCCCTACATCCCCTTCCCCTCCCCCCCTCGCTTCTCTCACAAGCAATGGTCCCGCCTGCCTAATCAAGGCACTCAAGCTCTCTCCATGCCTCCCGATTAATATTTAAAAACCTTTTACTCTAAAATACGCTTGAGTGCCATGCAATTCGGCCCTAAAGGCTTTATTTAATCTTATACCCAGATCTTAACGTGTAACTGAAACTGAAATGTACCGCTTGGCCGTGAAAGATCTGGATATGAGACTGCCCTTTACTGTCAATGACTGATCGTTCTTCTGAAAGGTAATCGAAAACGAACAGGGAAACAAGGGTGGTGGGGTGGGGAATATCATTCTGACCCTTCGCCAATTCCAGAAGAAGTCAAACTATTCAAATTTGCACTTCAATATTTTGCAGTGAAATCGGCCGCCATAGTCAAAGAGGAAAGCGACGCTGGTGAGTTCGTGAAAGCTATTAATGCTCTTTACAGCAAACGGTGGTGGGATTGTCCGGAGTATACATTCACAGGGATGCTGGAAGCAATCTACCAATGGCCAGAATGGGGATCCCCTATGTACGTCTTTACGGACGCGGGCCCAAAAAGATGCATCGGACGCAAAATTGCCGAGCTTCAGTTCCTAGCTAGCTCTGATCAGTTAGGGGTAACAATTAATTTTCTTACCACAGGTAAGAGATCTAAAGTATTTACATTCTTGTTCGCATACTATTTAGCAGGCTGTATGTCTGACTGACAAACCGGTAGAGAGGATAAGGTCTCGTCTTTTGCAGACTGACAGATTTACAGACCTACAGTTTGACAGACTAACAGACCGACAGACTAAGAGACCAACAGACCGACAGTCCGACAAAGTAACAGATAGAAAGAACGACAGACTTACAGACTAAAAAGGACCGGCAGTCCAACAGACTGACAGACCAACAGACGAGCAGACTGATAGAGCGTCTGACTGACCAATTTGAGTGATAGGCTGACTAACAAACTTCTGACAGACAGATTAGTCAATCTGTCTGACTTATCTATCGAATGATCAATTGATTAGTTGACCAGTGTCACGAATTTATCGATTGTTTGGTGTAGGTTTCTGTTACACTCATCTCCACCCAGCCTTCAAAGATCTCGCCGAGCGTACCTCAGGTCAGACTATTTCTCTTAGAAAAGACGGAGAACTGGAAAAGCTTAATAATCTGACAGCGGGTGTGCTCGATGGGACGAGTACTCTTAGTATCGGTTCAAGCCCAGGACACAAGAGGAAGCGAAGCGTAAAAATACAACGCCCCGTCGATATAACTTTTCAGTTGATGAATCCATTGAAAAATTGACCATAACAGTAAGCACCACACGCCAGGAACAAATGGTCTGTACTTTTTATTTTTTTGATTATATCTATGTTGTAGTGGGTGAAGCTTAATGTGATCTTAGGCTGCTATCTTTGACTTTTACAGCAGGAAAAGGCTGGGAGAGAGAGAAATTTGTACCAAGGGGGTGAGCGACGGCCAAGAAGAAGGAGAGGGGAGGGGGGGGGGCAAATGCGTTCGCTAGCTTCTTAGCGTTTACTCGCCTATATAAGACGCCTGCACTGCATGGATACAGATGCTATTTCCATATCATATTTTACAAAAGGAGAGGTAGTTCCCAAATAGTCAACTAACAGCCACAAGGAAACTTTGCAAGAAATCTTTTTCTTTTTTTTTTTGGCTTCGTTTGACTTTTTTTTTTAGTTAATATCTTCATTGTTTGGAGATTAAGAAGGATTAAATTGAATAACTGAAATCGATGGAAATATATTAAAATCAACAAAGTTGCTAGCTGCCTACCTCTTTAACCTTCGAGTGTCACAATTTATTATTTCTAACACCCTTGTTTATCTTTTTGTTTAGTTATTTCTTTTTTGTATAATCTGTAAACTTACTGTATCAATTTTTGCATATTTGCTTTTAAACTTTTTTTTTTTTTCAGGGCAAGGCATTACCTTGACAGACCCCGATGACATCGTGATCTCAGCTGAAAAAAACTTAGTCTGTCACAGGTCTCTGTCTATCAGATCGACCGCCCCAAGATAGGAGGCTGGACCCTAGTTGTGTCGGGTGAACACGAGTTTCAAGCTAAGTCAAGCAGTGAAACGAATGTCAACTTCGGAGTATATTTCATCATTCCAATGCGGGGACGCAGGAGACAGATAACCGAAGTGCCTATTTCCAATCCAGTTACAGGTAAGTTTCGCATATAATCAGGGCAATTTTTAAGTAAGTGTCAATTGTAATCTGGGATTTTATTTCGGTCTGTGATTGGTCAAAAAAACTCGTCCCATTCTGGACTTCAAATTAATTACAAGTGATTCTGTATTTCTTAAAGGTAAACTGAACAAGATGCTCATCACTGTCGCTGGTTCTGAGAGGCTCAACACAAGCTCCCTACGCTTGGAACTCATTACCCCTGAAGGAGCTAGGATTACTGACGTCACGTTGCAGACAACTGACAACGTCCATTTCACCGCAAGTTTTACGCCTCGCACGAGTCAACCATTCAAACTCAGGCTCAGTGGTATCACTCGTGGCCGCAACACTTTTGAGAGAATTTCTCGACAGAAGATCAAACCCTCCAGGGCCCTGCTCAGAGTAAGATACGCCAGTAATGATTATACACTTCCCTTAGGACGAGTCACGTTTGTTCATTTTGAGATCTGCAACTTTGGCGCCACTGAGTATTTTGACGTTACAGTCGTGAAAGATCGAATGGGTTTGATTATTAGCCCACAAATTTCATCCAAACGTGTCATTAAAGGCCACTGCGCGATTATATCTGTCCGCGCCAGAGCTACGCGGCCCGAGGACGTGGACAAGACCGACATCTTATTCTTGATAGTAAAGGGCCGCACATCTAAAGTTCTTGCCTCACAGGGGTGCGTCTTTTTTGTTGTGCCATAAGCAGAGATTTGTGGATCAATCTGTTATTCCGTTGCCACAAATTCATAATATTCTACTAAAATTTTAGGCGACCGAGTGAATTCAAGAGACTTTCAAGAGATCACAAGGATTATCATTGATTAGCTATAGAGGCACAGCTTTCGAGAAAAATAAGAATTTTATCAGTAGGTTATTTCGCATAGTCTGTAACAGCAATAACAGCAATGAGATTTTAGCTCTAACGTCATGTACCTGATTAATTTTTTAGTCTTGAAGATTAATAAAAAAAGAGGTGGTTTATTTTGAGGCTTCAGAGTCAAGTTGTCTTACAGCAGTCATAAACAGTCACACATGTCAGTCAGTTACGGCGTTGTAAATCCGAGGAAATGTCATAAGAAAGCTCAAAATGAGAAAAACAAAGTGATAAATTTACAGGATACCCGTTTTAAGTAACCCTTGTGCTTGGTAAGTCTAGAGTTTCCTTTCACTGCTCTTGTTTTTTTTCACAGATTTCTAGGACGGTTTCAATTCTCTCGCATATCACTCCTAATAGGGCTGATTTCTTCTTCAAAACTGTATGCGAAAATCGATGCGGCCAGTCAAACGTAATGTCATTACACATGCCTGACGTTTTGCGAAATAAGTTAATGGTTTGTAAGTAAAGTTGTCACCTCATCTTTGAGCGAATTGCGTGACAAGAGCTAACAATGGCTGCCGTAGAGGTTTAAGGTTTGTCTTAATAGAGTACGTAGTGCGAGGGTAATGGGAAAGAGGGAGGAGGGGAAAGAAAGAGATCATGGGAAGGGGAACAAGAATAGGTCTACCTTACTCGCGCGCGTTATGGAAACGCCGACTGGGACGAGTTAGCGATTATGTGCCAAATCACATGACACCTGCATGATCGTGTGGTGAAGTCGAAGTCTTTCATAAGTTCGACGTTTACGAATGTGATTTGAAACATGACCCCTTCTTGTTGAAACTTTGTCTTAACGCAAGAGACTCAGGAGAAAGTAAAGAAAGTAAATCATTAAATTAGTTTGTTTCAAATTTTTAAATTATCTTCTTCCAGAGTTACATTTTTTTCCATAAAAATGACCAACGCTACATCTCGGTCGAGGCTCTCGTTTAGTACTTTGTGCTTCATTTTCTATATGGGAACTGATTTCTTTCGCCTGCAATTCCTAACATGAAAATTCAATGATTAAACATCTCAAAGTATACTTTTCTCTTTCATATAAAAAAAACATAGCTACGAAGTATAGAAAATGGTGCGGGCGGGAAGGGAAGGGCAAGACAGTTGTTCCAGCACAGGTTTAGACCTTGTAATATTCTGTCCCCCACCCTCCCTCTCAAATGCCAAATACCTTAGTTTCAAAAAGAAGGGTATTTACTGGACCTTTGATACGATATTTTTATCACTCTCGTGTGAACAAAGTTCTTTTCACTTATCTTTGCCTTATTCTGCGAATAACCCCTCTCTATTACTTATATCAGGATTTATTACTATTCGAGACCCTAAGAATAATTTTTTCCCCACCTTGATGAGAAATAATATATAATTTATCTTAAATATTCATTCACCTCATCTGAGAGAAGCTGCAGCCGATTTAATACCTCGTCTGCTCTCCTTTGTCTTGGCTTGGCGGACACTGAAGTTGTTCCAAGAAAAGGAACAAACCCAAAAGCAATATTTGATAGTTCATTCAAATTCGAAGCACGTTGTTGAAATACGCCTGTGCAAAGAGAGAACAGATTCATGCTAATACGTTGAACAAATGTGTGAGGCTGATGCAATTCGCCTTCTGCATAACGGAAACGTTTACTGTCTCCTGATGTAAGTTTTTAGCATAATCTGTTGGGAACCTACAGCTGAAACCGCTTTAATCAGTAAGTAAAGTTACTAAATTTTTCACCAATCAGTCGGTCGGTCAGTCATCCAGTTATTCATGATCAATCATCTAGTTCGTCAGTCATTCATGATTAGTTATTCATGATCAGTCACTCACTCCATTTAGTCATTTAGTCACTCAATGACTCTGTCATTCTATTACGTCTTTCAGTCGTTCAGATATTCATTTATTTATTCCTTCAGACTTTCAGTCTTTCAGTCAGTCAGTGGACCATTTGTTAAGCGCATTTCGATTGAGTGTCTCAAAACCAAACCAAAGTAATCGGAAGAATTAAAAAATACTTTCAAGAGCCAATGAGAACTCTAAATAAAACTCGCGGGAAAACGAGAAAGACCAATTGGTGATTGGTTTTACTTTTGCTTCTGATTGGGTGAAAAAAGTGAGCGTGTATTCAGGACCAATCACAGAGCGACTCAAGCAAAGCAAAAGCAAAAGCAATCCCGGATCAAATTTCTCGACATTCGGTTGAATACCCTCTGCCATCAATCAAGCATTTAATTAGTCATAAATTTAATTAATTAATTAATCCCTGAAACAATCATAATGTCTCAAGGTCAGTGCCGGATTACATTAACCCCAACAATAATGATTAATTCATTAGTTTTCCAACTATGTTTTCATTCCTCTCTAAATGTCATTTAGTGGTTTTAGGGTGGTCCATCTGCTTTTTTCTTCATTTTATGGCATCGCCAATTTGGCTTTCAAATAAATCCTTTCATGACTAGAAGCATTTTACGATGCTTCATTATTGATTCGTCAAAAGCAATATCGATCATTTCGATAGCACTGTTTTCGACATGTTTGTCTCAAGCTAGTGTAAATGAAGTTCTCTCTTTCACAAAAATGTCCGTAATGTTTTACCTCTAGATTTCGACGGAAAATGACAATGTATCCACGATGCTTGCTATTCTATGAGTAAGCTGTGAGTTATAGTTGAACCATGGACATTATTTTTTTCTGGCTTAACTCGATCGTCTTACCTGTGGGGATGGTTCTATTGAGGTTACTAATACGTATTGCATTGCTGGAAGTGTGATTTCTCATTACATTACTTAATCATATCATTTGAGTCGTAAAAAAGCAATAACGGGTTTGAATAAAGGTGTTCGGTTTTTTTTGTGAAAAAATTTCGGGCAATAGTTGTATTATTTATACCCTTGTAGCCAAGGCTTTAAAGGATAATTTGATTTTGTTTTTTTGATATACGTATGTATGTCGCGTTTCAAGCGTGGAAAAAATAAGAATAGTATTACTAAAACAATAATAACAATACTGATGATAATGATGGCAGGATAATAATATTTAAAGAAAAAAAGTATAAAAAATTATAAAATTAGACTTCACTTAATTTCGGCCCACAGCCAGCTGTAAGCATCAAATTTGAGAGACGGAAGCAGGCTAAAACGAGGCAAGTGTCGCGAGAACTCATCCTGTAATTTGAGAATGAATTTTTTAAAATGGTCATAAACAAGGAAGCATTGATAGAACGTCGAACGTGCCTAATGCACGTAGTACAAAAACCTTGATTCCATAAGTAGCTGATACGTAAGTCTATAAAAATTTATGTTATAATTAAGATGCATGAAAATAGTTTGAAGCCAACTGAGCTATTTTACCTCTGCCTTAGTTCTCGACCAAGAACAGGAGGCGTAAGAACACACTCGTTTGTTACAAAGCACACGAACAAGTTAATCGTTCAATTCCTGTTTCATGATCACGATAAAAAACAGTTTTTTTTTTTTTGTTTTGTATTGTTTAATTTTTATCATATAAGCTAATCGATGTTCTTGTACCTTAGACCCAGTTCTCAGTGTGATCAAAACGTCGTAAATTACATAAGCATTTGGAAAACGAGCCAGAAATACGAAAGCCGTCATAAAATGTCTTGTAAAAGCGTCAGGCGGCAGGATATAGGGATGTAAATGCAAACAATTGTCATACGAAAGATTTGCGACATCCCAGGGATTAGCTGGGAGGAAATAACCTCGCCGCCTCGCAGTTTGTTAGATATGTACCATTTGTTCATCTCCGATCTGTTGGGTTGTTATTAGATATTGCACAATAAAACATCACCTTTCGAACACTTTCAAGATTTTACCTGTACGTGAATTTGTAAAGTCGTTGGTATAATAAAAATTTGAAGAAAAAACACGGCAGACGTAACATGACACAACGGCGACGACGAGGTCATGGCAAAAATAACAGATCTTGGGGTCAGATCAATCGTTCAGCACGTGCGTTTTAAAATGTATACACTGTACATCTCACAACTGTCCTCTTTAAAAAGAGGAACGTTGAATCACCAAAATTTGAGTGGTGGCTGAGCAGAAATCCCGACGACAAATTATCTAAGTCAACGCTGCCATTCGCGAAGTAGCGGGCTGTTCGGGAGATACTATTGCAGTCGGCACTGTTGGTCTTGGATTCTCTCAAAACAGTTGGACATCATTGGCTTCCACTGGTTATCTAGGCTTTGGCGTCGGGTTTGTACAACAACGTTAACATTTCTTTATTTTTTGTACTCTTGGTGTCTTTGAATCAACGAAAGACATGCTAGAGATCTATGGGATCTAGGGCCCATTCACTCCAAAGTAAATCATCAGTCATAGGCATCAATCGGTTTTGGAAAAAAAAAACAAAACAAACAAAAAAAAACTAACGATAAGTAAATCTGTAATTGAAGCACGTAAACTGGTTCTTCAGATGCTCAAGGGTAAGTAGCATGTAAACTGGTTCCTTAGATGCTCAGAGGTAAGTAAGCACGTAAACTGGTTCCTCAAATGCTCAAGCAAGTTAACTGAGACTCAGCCTATAAAAGTCTTTCAAAAGAGTGTCAATACTTTAAAAGTTTTGAGCAGCACAAAGAGAACATCATGATCATAAAGGCGAACTTCTTTCGCTTCTTGCAACGAGCGCTTTGTCTTCTTATTAGCTGTAGGACCTGGTAGGGGGCAGTCTCCTCTCCACATCGCTGCAGTTCACCGTGATTCCTTGATGGGTTTCTCACGGATCGCAGAGGAGCGTGGAAATACTTACACCGAAGAAAACGAAAAGGATTATTACTCCCTTTGAGCAAGTGAGAGATGTTAAAAGGGC